ACACACGTGGGTTTAACACACGGTGGATTTAACACACGGTTGGTTGAACATACGGTGGGTTGAACACACGGTGTGTTGAACACACGGTGGGTTGAACACACGGTGGGTTTAACACACGGTGGGTTGAACACACGGTGGGTTGAACACACGGTGAGTTGAATACACGGTGGGTTGAACACACGGTGGTTGAACACACGGTAGGTTGAACACACGGTGGGATGAACACACGGTGGGTTGAACACACGGTGGGTTGAACACACGGTGGGTTGAACACACGGTGGGTTGAACACACGGTGGGTTGAAGACACGGTGGGTTGAAGACACGGTGGGTTGAAGACACGGTGGGTTGAAGACACGGTGGGTTGAACACACGGTGGATTGAACACACGGTGGGTTTAACACACGGTGGGTTGAAGACACGGTGGGTTGAAGACACGGTGGGTTGAACACACGGTGGGTTTAACACACGGTGGATTGAACACACGATGGGTTGAACACATGGTGTGTTGAACACACGGTGGGTTGAACACACGGTGGGTTTAACACACGGTGGGTTTAACACACGGTGGGGTTTCACACGCGTGGGTTTAACACACGGTGGATTTAACACACGGTGGGTTTACCACTCGGTGGGTTGAACACAGGGTGGGTTGAACACACGGTGGGTTGAACACACGGTGTGTTGAACACACGGTGGGTTGAACACACGGTGGGTTGAACACACGGTGGGTTGAACACACGGGGGGTTGAACACACGGTGGGTTGAACACACGGTGGGTTGAACACACGGTGGGTTGAACACACGGTGTGTTGAACACACGGTGGGTTGAACACACGGTAGGTTGAACACACGGTGGGTTGAACACACGGTAGGTTGAACACATGGTGGGTTGAACACACGGTGGGTTGAACACACGGTGGGTTGAACACACGGTGGGTTGAACACACGGTGTGTTGAACACACGGTGGGTTGAACACACGGTGTGTTGAACACACGGTGGGTTTGAACACACGGTTGGTTGAACACACGGTGGGTTGAACACACAGTGGGTTGAACACACGGTGGGTTGAACACACGGTGGGTTGAACACACGGTGGGTTGAACACACGGTAGGTTGAACACACGGTGGGTTGAACACACGGTGGGTTGAACACACGGTGGGTTGAACACACGGTGTGTTGAACACACGGTGGGTTGAACACACGGTGGGTTTAACACACGGTGGTTTTAACACACAGTGGGTTTAACAGATGGTGGGTCTAACACACGGTGGGTTTAACACACGGTGGGTTTAACACACGGTGGGTTGAACACACGGTGGGTTGAACACACGGTAGGTTGAACACACGGTGGGTTGAACACACGGTGGGTTGAACACACGGTGGGTTCAACACACGGTGGGTTTGAACACACGGTGTGTTGAACACACGGTGGGTTGAACACACGGTGGGTTTAACACACGGTGGGTTGAACACACGGTGGGTTTAACACACGGTGGGTTTAACAACCATTGGGTTTAACACACGGTGGGTTGAACACACGGTGGGTTTAACACACGGTGGGTTTAACACACGGTGGGTTGAACACACGGTGGGTTGAACACACGGTAGGTTTAACACACGGTGGGTTGAACACACGGTGGGTTGAACACACGGTGGGTTAAACACATGGTGGGTTGAACACACGGTAGGTTTAACACACGGTGGGTTGAACACACGGTGGGTTGAACACACGGTGGGTTGAACACAGGGTGGGTTGAACACACGGTAGGTTTAACAAACGGTGGGTTGAACAAACGGTGGGTTTAACACACGGTGGGTTTAACACACGGTGGGTTTAATACACGGTGGTTTTAACACACGGTGTGTTGAACACACGGTGGTTTGAACACACGGTAGGTTTAATACACGGTGGGTTGAACACACGGTGGGTTGAACACACGGTGGGTTGAACACACGGTGGGTTTAACACACGGTGGGATTAACACACGGTGGGTTGAACACAGGGTGGGTTTAACACACGGTGGGTTTAACAACCATTGGGTTTAACACACGGTGGGTTGAACACACGGTGGGTTTAACACACGGTGGGTTTAACACACGGTGGGTTGAACACACGGTGGGTTGAACACACGGTAGGTTTAACACACGGTGGGATGAACACACGGTGGGTTGAACACACGGTGGGTTGAACACACGGTGGGTTGAACACACGGTGGGTTGAACACACGGTGGGTTGAACACACGGTGGGTTGAACACACGGTGGGTTGAAGACACGGTGGGTTGAGGACACGGTGGGTTGAACACACGGTGGATTGAACACACGGTGGGTTTAACACACGGTGGGTTGAAGACACGGTGGGTTGAAGACACGGTGGGTTGAACACACGGTGGGTTGAACACACGGTGGGTTTAACACACGGTGGATTGAACACACGGTGGGTTGAACACACGGTGTGTTGAACACACGGTGGGTTAAACACACGGTGGGTTTAACACACGGTGGGTTTAACACTCGGTGGGTTTCACACACGTGGGTTTAACACACGGTGGATTTAACACACGGTGGGTTTAACACTCGGTGGGTTGAACACACGGTGGGTTGAACACACGGTGGGTTGAACACACGGTGTGTTGAAAACACGGTGGGTTGAACACACGGTGGGTTGAACACACGGTGGGTTGAACACACGGGGGGTTGAACACACGGTGGGTTGAACACACGGTGGGTTGAACACACGGTGGGTTGAACACACGGTGGGTTGAACACACGGTGGGTTGAACACACGGTAGGTTGAACACACGGTGGGTTGAACACACGGTGGGTTGAACACACGGTGGGTTGAACACACGGTGGGTTGAACACACGGTGGGTTGATCACACGATGGGTTGAAGACACGGTGGGTTGAAGACACGGTGGGTTGAAGACACGGTGGGTTGAACACACGGTAGGTTTAACACACGGTAGGTTGAAGACACGGTGGGTTGAAGACACGGTGGGTTGAAGACACGGTTGGTTGAACACACGGTGGGTTGAACACACGGTGGGTTTAACACACGGTGGATTGAACACACGGTGGGTTGAACACACGGTGTGTTGAACACACGGTGGGTTGAACACACAGTGGGTTTAACACAGGGTGGGTCTAACACACGGTGGGTCTAACACACGGTGGGTCTAACACACGGTGGGTTGAACACACGGTGGGTTGAACACACGGTGGGCTGAACACGCGGTGTGTTGAACACACGGTGGGGTGAACACACGGTGTGTTGAACACACGGTGGGTTGAACACACGGTGGGTTGAACACACGGTGGATAGAACACACGGTGATGGAAGGAGGGAGAATGGGGCGTGGTGATGGAAGGAGGGAGAATGGGGCGGGGTGATGGAAAGCGGGAGTATGGGGCAGGGTGATGGAAAGCAGAGGATGGGGCGGGGTGATGGAAAGCGGGAGAATGGGGTCGGTGATGGAAAGCGGGGGAATGGGGCAGGGTGATGAAAGCGGGAGAATGGGGCGGGGTAATGAAAGGAGGGAGAATGCGGTTGGGTGATGGAAAGCGGGAGAATGGGGCAGGGTGATGGAAAGCGGGAGAATCGGGCGGGATGATGGAAGTAGGGAGAATGGGGCGAGGTGATGGAAAGCGGGAGAATGGTGCAGGGTGATGGAAAGCGGGAGAATGAGGCGAGGTGATGGAAAGCGGGAGAATAGGGCAGGGTGATGGAAAGCGGGAGAATGGGGCAGGGACATTGAAAGAAGGAGAATAGGGCGGGGTGATGGAAAGCGGGAGAATGGGGCGGGGTGATGGAAAGCAGGAGAATGGGACGGGTTGATGGAAAGCGGGAGAATGGGGCGGGGTCATGGAAAGCGAGAGAATGAGGCGGGGTGATGGAAAGCGGGAGAATAGGGCGGGGTGATGGAAAGCGGGAGAATGGGGCGGGGTGATGGAAGGAGGGAGAATGGGGCGGGGTGATGGAAAGCGGGAGAATGGGGCGGGGTGATGGAAGGAGGGAGAATGTGGCAGGGTGACGGAAAGCGGGAGTATGGGGCGGGACGATGGAAAGCGGGAGAATGGTGCAGGGTGATGGAAAGCGGGAGAATGGGGCGGGGTGATTGAAAAGGGGGAGAATGGGGCGGGGTGATGGAAAGCGGGAGAATGGGCCAGGGTGATGGAAAGCGGGAGAATGGGGCGGGGTGATAGAAGGAGGGAGAATAGGGCGGGGTGATGGAAGGAGGGAGAATGGACCGAGGTGATGGAAAGCAGGAGAATGGGGCGGGGTGATGGAAAGCGGGAGATTCGGCAGGATGACGGAAAGCGGGAGAATGGGGAGAATTGGGCGGGGTGATGGAAAGCGGGAGAATGGGGCAGGGTGATGGAAAGCGGGAGAATGGGGCGAGATGATGGAAAGCGGGAGAATGGGGCAGGGTGATGGAAGGAGGGAGAATGGGGCGGGGTGATGGAAAGCGGGAGAATGGGGCGGGGTGATGGAAGGAGGGAGAATGGGGCGGGGTGATGTAAAGAGGGAGAATGGGGTGGGGTGATGGAAAGAGAGAGAGTATGGGGCGAGGTGAAGGAAAGCGGGAAAATGGGGCGGGTGATGGAAGGAGGGAGAATGGGGCGAGGTGAAGGAAGGAGCGAGAATGGGGCGAGGTGATGGAAAGCGGGAGTATGGGGCGGGGTGATGGAAACCGGGAGAATGGGGCGGGGCGATGGAAAACGGGAGAATGGGGCGGGGTGATGGAAAGCGGGAGAATGGGGCGGGGTGATGGAAAGCGGGAGAACGGGGCGGGGTGATGGAAAGCAGGAGAATGGGCCAGGGTGATGGAAAGCGGGAGATTTGGGCGGGGTAATGGAAAGCGGGAGAATGGGGCGGGGTGATGGAAAGCGGGAGAATGGGGCGGGGTGATGGAAAGCAGGAGAATGGGACGGGGTGATGGAAAGGGGGAGAATGGGGCGGGGTGATGGAAAGCGGCAAAATGGGGCGGGGTGATGGAAAGCGGGAGAATGGGGCGGGGTGATGGAGAGCAGGAGAATGGGGCGGGGTGATGGAAAGGGGGAGAATGGGGCGGGGTGATGGAAAGCGGGGAAATGGGGCGGGTGATGGAAGGAGGGAGAATGGGGCGAGGTGATGGAAGGAGGGAGAATGGGGCGAAGTGATGGAAAGCGGGAGTATGGGGCGGGGTGATGGAAAGCGGGAGAATGGGGCGGGGTGATGGAGAGTGGGAGAATGGTGCGGGGTGATGGAAAGCGGGACAATGGGCCGGGGTGATGGAAAGCGGGAGAATGGGGCGGGGTGATGGAAGGCGGGAGAATGGGGCGGGGTGATGGAAAGCAGGACAATGGGGCGGGGTGATGGAAAGGGGGAGAATGTGGCGTTGTGATGGAAAGCGGGAGAATGGGGAGGGGTGATGGAAGGAGGGAGAATGGGGCGGGGTGATGGAAGGAGGGAGAATGGGGCGAGGTGATGGAAAGCGGGAGTATGGGGCAGGGTGATGGAAAGCGGAAGAATGGGGCGGGGTGATGGAAAGCGGGAGAATGGGGCGGAGTGATGGAAAGCGGGAAAATGAGTCGGGGTGATGGAATGCGGGAGAATGGGGCGGGGTGATGGAAAGCGGGAGAATGGGGTGGTTGATGGAAAGCGGGAGAATGGGGCGGGGTGATGGAAAGCGGGAGAATGGGGCGGGGTGATGGAAAGCGGGAGAATGGGGCGTGGTGATGGAAAGCGGGAGAGTGGGGCGGGGTGACGGAAAGCGGGAGAATGGGGCGTGGTGATGGAAAGCGGGAGAGTGGGGCGGGGTGACGGAAAGCGGGAGAATGGGGCGGGGTGACGGAAAGCAGGAGAATGCTGCGGGGTGATGGAAAGCGGGAGAATGGGGCGGGGTGATGGAAAGCGGGAGAATGGGGCGGGGTGATGGAAAGCGGGAAAATGGAGCGGGGTGATGGAAGGAGGGAGAATGGGGCGGGCTGATGGAAAGCGGGAGTATGGGGCGTTGTGATGGAAAGCGGGAGAAGGGGGCGGGGTGATGGAAGGAGAGAGAATGGGGCGAGGTGATGGAAAGCGGGAGAATGGTGCGGGGTGATGGAAAGTGGGAGAATGAGGCGAGGTGATGGAAAGTGGGAGAATGGGCCCGGTGATGGAAAGCGGGAGAATGGGGCGGGGTGATGGAAAGCGGGAGAATGGGGCGGGGTGATGGAAAGGGGGAGAAGGGGGCGGGGTGATGGAAGGTGGGAGAATGGGGCAGGGTGATGGAAGGATGGAGAATGGGGCGGGGTGGTGGAAAGCGGGAGAATGGGGCGGGGTGATGGAAAGCGGGAGAAGGGGGCAGGGTGATGGAAAGTGGGAGAATGGGGCGGGGTGACGGAAAGCGGGAGAATGGGCCGGGGTGATGGAAAGCGTGAGAAGGGGGCAGGGTGATGGAAAGTGGGAGAATGGGGCGGGGTGATGGAATGCGGGAGAATGGGCCGGGGTGATGGAAAGCAGAAGAATGAGGCGGGGTGATGGAAAGCGGGAGAATGGGGCGGGGTGATGGAAAGCGGCAGAATGGGGCGGGGTGATGGAAAGCGGGAGAATGGGGCGGGGTGATGGAAAGTGGGAGAATGGGGCGGGGTGATGGGAAGCAGGAGAATGGAGCGGGGTGATGGAAGGTGGGATTATGGGGCGGGGTTATGGAAAGCGGGAGAATGGGGCGGGATGATGGAAAGCGGGAGAATTGGGCGGGCTGATGGAAAGCGGGAGAATGCGGTGGGGTGATGGAAAGCGGAAAAATGGGGCGGGGTGATAGAAGGAGGGAGAATGGGGCGGGGTGATGGAAAGCGGGAGAATGGGGCGGGGTGATGGAAAGCGGGAAAATGGGGCGGGGTGATGCAAGGAGGGAGAATGGGGCGTGGTGATGGAAGGAGGGAGAATGGGGCTGGGTGATGGAAAGCGGGAGTATGGGGCGGGGTGATGGAAAGCGGGAGGATGGGGCGGGGTGATGGAAAGCGCGAGAATGGGGTGGGTGATGGAAAGCGGGGGAATGGGGCGGGGTGATGGAAAGCGGGAGAATGGGGCGGGGTGATGGAAAGAGGGAGAATGGGGCGGGGTGATGGAAAGCGGGAGTATGGGGCGAGGTGATGGAAAGCGCGAGAATGGGGCGGGGTGATGGAAAGCGGGAGAATGGAGCGGAGTGGTGGAAAGCGGGAAAATGAGTCCGGGTGATGGAATGCGGGAGAATGGGGCGGGGTGATTGAAAGCGGGGGAATGGGGCAGGGTGATGGAAAGCGGGAGAATGGGGCGTGGTGATGGAAAGCGGGAGAATGGGACGGGGTGATGGAAGGAGGGAGAATGGGGCGGGGTGATGGAAAGAGGGAGAATGGGGCGGGGTGATGGAAAGCGGGAGTATGGGGCGAGGTGATGGAAAGCGCGAGAATGGGGCGGGGTGATGGAAAGCGGGAGAATCGAGCGGAGTGATGGAAAGCGGGAAAATGAGTCCGGGTGATGGAATGCGGGAGAATGGGGCGGGGTGATGGAAAGCGGGAGAATGGGGTGGGTGATGGAAAGCGGGAGAATGGGGCGGGGTGATGGAAAGTAGGAGAATGGGGCGGGGTAATTGAAGGAGGGAGAATGGGGTGGGGTGATGGAAAGTGAGAGAATGGGGCAGGTTGATGGAAAGCGGGAGAACGGGGCGGGGTGACGGGAAGCGGGAGAATGGGGTGGGGTGATGGAAGGAGGGAGAATGGGGCGAGGTGATGGAAAGGGGGAGAATGGTGCGGGGTGATGGAAAGCGGGAGAATGAGGCGTGGTGATCGAAAGCGGGAGAATGGGGTGGGGTGATGGAAAGCGGGAGAATGGGGTGGGTTGATGGAAAGTGGGAGAATGGGGCGGGGTGATGGAAAGCGGGAGAATGGGGCAGGGTGATGGAAAGCGGGAGAATGGGGTGGGGTGATGGAAAGCGGGAGAATGGGGCGGGGTGATGGAAGGTGGGAGAATGGGGCGGGGTGATGGAAGGAGGGAGAATGGGGCGGGGTGATGGAAAGCGGGAGAATGGGGCGCGGTGATGGAAAGCGGGAGAATGGGGCGGGGTTGTGGAAAGCGGGAGAATGGGGCGGGGTAATGGAAAGTGGGAGAATGGGGCGGGGTGATGGAAAGCGGGAGAATGGGGCGGGGTGATGGAAAGCGGGAGATTTGGGCGGGTGATGGAAAGGGGGAGAATGGGGCGGGGTGATGGAAAGCGGGAAAATGGGGCGGGGTGATGGAAAGCGGGAGAATGGGGCGGGGCGATGGAAAGCAGGAGAATGGGGCGGGTTGATGGAAAGCAGGAGAATGGGGTGGGTGATGGAAAGGGGGAGAATGGGGCGGGGTGATGGAAAGCGGGAGAATGGGGCGTTGTGATGGAAAGCGGGAGAACGGAGCGGAGTGATGGAAGGAGGGAGAAGGGGGCGGGGTGATGGAAGGAGGGAGAATGGGGCGAGGTGATGAAAAGCGGGAGCATGGGGCGGGGTGATGGAAAGTGGGAAAATGGGGCGGGGTGATGGAAAGCAGGAGAATGGGGCGGAGTGATGGAAAGCGGAAGAATGAGGCGGGGTGATGGAAAGCGGGAGAATGGGGTGGGGCGATGGAAAGCGGCAGAATGGGGCGGAGTGATGGAAAGCGGGAGAATGGGGCGGGGTGATGGAAAGTGGGAGAATGGGGCGGGGTGATTGAAAGCAGGAGAATGGAGCGGGGTGATGGAAGGTGGGAGAATGGGGCGGGATGATGGAAAGCGGGAGAATGGGGCGGGATGATGGAAAGCGGGAGAATTGCGCGGGGTGATGGAAAGCGGGAGAATGGGGTGGGGTGATGGAAAGCGGGAGAATGGGGCGGGGTGATGGAAAGTAGGAGAATGGGGTGGGGTAATGGAAGGAGGGAGAATGGGGTGGGGTGATGGAAAGTGAGAGAATGGGGCAGGTTGATGGAAAGCGGGAGAACGGGGCGGGGTGACGGAAAGCGGGAGAATGGGGTGGGGTGATGGAAGGAGGGAGAATGGGGCGAGGTGATGGAAAGGGGGAGAATGGTGCGGGGTGATGGAAAGCGGGAGAATGAGGCGTGGTGATCGAAAGCGGGAGAATGGGGCGGGGTGATGGAAAGCGGGAGAATGGGGTGGGTTGATGGAAAGTGGGAGAATGGGGCGGGGTGATGGAAAGCGGGAGAATGGGGCAGGGTGATGGAAAGCGGGAGAATGGGGTGGGGTGATGGAAAGCGGGAGAATGGGGCGGGGTGATGGAAGGTGGGAGAATGGGGCGGGGTGATGGAAGGAGGGAGAATGGGGCGGGGTGATGGAAAGCGGGAGAATGGGGCGGGGTGATGGAAAGCGGGAGAATGGGGCGGGGTTATAGAAAGCGGGAGAATGGGGCGGGGTGATGGAAAGTGGGAGAATGGGGCGGGGTGATGGAAAGCGGCAGAATGGGGCGGGGTGATGGAAAGCGGGAGATTTGGGCGGGGTGATGGAATGCCGGAGAATGGGGAGGGGTGATGGAATGGGGGACAATGGGGCGGGGTGATGGAAAGCAGGAGAATGGGGCGGGTGATGGAAAGGGGGAGAATGGGGCGGGGTGATGGAAAGCGGGAAAATGGGGCGGGGTGATGGAAAGCGGGAGAATGGGGCGGGGTGATGGAAAGCAGGAGAATGGGGCGGGGTGATGGAAAGCAGGAGAATGGGGCGGGTGATGGAAAGGGGGAGAATGGGGCGGGGTGATGGAAAGCGGGAGAATGGGGCGTTGTGATGGAAAGCGGGAGAATGGAGCGGGGTGATGGAAGGAGGGAGAAGGGGGCGGGGTGATGGAAGGAGGGAGAATGGGGCGAGGTGATGGAAAGCGGGAGCATGGGGCGGGGTGATGGAAAGTGGGAAAATGGGGCGGGGTGATGGAAAGTAGGAGAATGGGGCGGAGTGATGGAAAGGGGGAAAATGAGTCGGGGTGATGGAAAGCGGGAGAATGGGCCGGGATGATGGAAAGCGGAAGAATGAGGCGGGGTGATGGAAAGCGGGAGAATGGGGCGGGGTGATGGAAAGTGGGAGAATGGGGCGGGGTGATGGAAAGCAGGAGAATGGAGCGGGGTGATGGAAGGTGGGAGAATGGGGCGGGGTGATGGAAAGCGGGAGAATGGGGCGGGATGATGGAAAGCGGGAGAATTGCACGGGGTGATGGAAAGCGGGAGAATGGGGTGGGGTGATGGAAAGCGGGGGAATGGGGCAGGGGTGATGGGAAGCAGGAGATTTGGGCGGGGTTATGGAAAGCCGGAGAATGGGGCGGGTGATGGAAAGCAGGAGAATGGGGCGGGTGATGGAAAGGAGGAGAATGGGGCGGGGTGATGGAAAGCGGGAAAATGGGGCGGTGTGATGGAAAGCGGGAGAATGGGGCGGGGTGATGGAAAGCAGGAGAATGGGGCGGGGTGATGGAAAGCAGGAGAATGGGGCATTGTGATGGAAAGCGGGAGAATGGAGCGTGGTGATGGAAGGAGGGAGAAGGGGGCGAGGTGATGGAAAGCGGGAGAATGGTGCGGGGTGATGGAAAGAGGGAGAATGGGGCGGGGTGATGGAAAGCGGGAGAATGGGGCGGGGTGATGGAAAGCGGGAGAATGGGGCGGGGTGATGGAAAGTGGGACAATGGGGCGGGGTGATGGAAAGCGGGAGAATGGGGCGGGGTGATGGAAGGAGGGAGAATGGGGAGGGGTGATGTAAAGAGGGAGAATGGGGCGGGGTGATGGAAAGCGGGAGTATGGGGCGAGGTGATGGAAAGCGAGAGAATGGGGCGGGGTGATGGAAAGCGGGAGAATGGGGCGGAGAAATGGAAAGCGGGAAAATGAGTGGGGGTGATGGAATGCGGGAGAATGGGGCAGGGTGATGGAAAGCGGGAGAATGGGGTGGGTGATGGAAAGCGGGAGAATGGGCCAGGGTGATGGAAAGCGGGAGATTTGGGCGGGGTAATGGAAAGCGGGAGAATGGGGCGGGGTGATGGAAAGCAGGAGAATGGGACGGGGTGATGGAAAGGGGGAAAATGGGGCGGGGTGATGGAAGGAGGGAGAATGGGGCGGGGTGATGGAAAGCGGGAGTATGGGGCGTTGTTATGGAAGGAGAGAGAATGGGGCGAGGTGATGGAAAGCAGGAGAATGGTGCGGGGTGATGGAAAGCGGGAGAATGAGGCGAGGTGATGGAAAGTGGGAGAATGGGGCCGGTGATGGAAAGCGGGAGAATGGGGCGGGGTGATGGAAAGCGGGAGAATGGGGCGGGGTGATGGAAAGCGGGAGAATGGGGTGGGGTGATGGAAGGTGGGAGAATGGGGCAGGGTGATGGAAGGACGGAGAATGGGGCGGGGTGATGGAAAGCGGGAGAATGGGGCGGGGTGATGGAAAGCGGGAGAATTGGGCGGGGTGATGGAAAGCGGGAGAATGGGGCGGGGTGATGGAAAGTGGGAGAATGGGGCGGGGTGATGGAAAGCGGGAGAATGGGCCGGGGTGATGGAAAGCGGAAGAATGAGGCGGGGTGATGGAAAGCGGGAGAATGGGGCAGGGTGATGGAAAGCGGCAGAACGGGGCGGGGTGATGGAAAGCGGGAGAATGGGGCGGGGTGATGGAAAATGGGAAAATGGGGCGTGGTGATGGAAAGCAGGAGAATGGAGCGGGGTGATGGAAGGTGGGAGAATGGGGCGGGGTGATGGAAAGCGGGAGAATGGGGCGGGATGATGGAAAGCGGGAGAATTGGGCAGGCTGATGGAAAGCGGGAGAATGGGGTGGGGTGATGGAAAGCGGAAAAATGGGGCGGGGTGATGGAAGGAGGGAGAATGGGGCGGGGTGATGGAAAGCGGGAGAATGGGGCGGGGTGATGGAATGCGGGAGAATGGGGCAGGGTGATGGAAGGAGGGAGAATGGGGCATGGTGATGGAAGGAGGGAGAATGGGGCTGGGTGATGGAAAGCGGGAGTATGGGGCGGGGTGATGGAAAGCGGGAGAATGGGGCGGGGTGATGGAAAGCGGGAGAATGGGGCGGGGTGATGGAAAGCGGGAGAATGGGGCGGGGTGACGGAAAGCGGGAGAATCGGACGGGGTGATTGAAAGCGGGAGAATGGGGCGGAGTGATGGAAAGCGGGAAAATGAGCCGGGGTGATGGAAAGGGGGAGAATGGGGCGGGGTGATGGAAAGCGGAAAAATGGGGCGGGGTGATGGAAAGCGGGAGAGTGGGGCGGGGTGATGGAAGGAGGGAGAATGGGGCGTGGTGATGGAAGGAGGGAGAATGGGGCTGGGTGATGGAAAGCGGGAGTATGGGGCGGAGTGATGGAAAGCGGGAGAATGGGCCGGGGTGATGGAAAGCGGGAGAATGGGGCGGGGTGATGGAAAGCGGGAGAATGGGGCGGGGTGATGGAAAGCGGGAGAATCGGGCGGGGTGATGGAAAGCGGGAGAATGGGGCGGAGTGATGAAAAGCGGGAAAATGAGTCGGGGTGATGGAAAGCGGGAGAATGGGGCGGGGTGATGGAAAGCGGTAGAATGGTACGGGGTGATGGAAAGCGGGAGAATGGGGCGGGGTAATGGAAGGAGGGAGAATGGGGTGGGGTGATGGAAAGTCGGAGAATGGGGCCGGGTGATGGAAAACGGGGGAATGGGGCAGGGTGACGGAAAGCGTGAGAATGGGGTGGGGTGATGGAAGGAGGGAGAATGGGGCGAGGTGATGGAAAGCGGTAGAATGGTACGGGGTGATGGATAGCAGGAGAATGGGTCGGGTTGATGGAAAGTGGGAGAATGGGGCGGGGTGATGGAAAGCGGGAGAATGGGGTGGGTGATGGAAAGCGGGAGAATGGGGCGGGGTGATGGAAAGCGGGAGAATGGGGCGGGGTGACGCAAAGCGGGAGAATGGTGTGGGGTGATGGAAATGGGAGAATGGGGCGGGGTGATGGAAAGCGGGAGAATGGGGCAGGGTGAAGGAAAGCGGGAGAATGGGGCGGAGTGATGGAAAGTGGGAGAATGGGGCGGGGTGATGGAAAGGGGGAGAATGGTGCGGGGTGATGGAAAGCGGGAAAATGGGGCGGGTGATGGAAGGAGGGAGAATGGGGCGAGGTGATGGAAGGAGGGAGAATGGGGCGAGGTGATGGAAAGCGGGAGTATGGGGCGGGGTGATGGAAGGAGAGAGAATGGGGCGAGGTGATGGAAAGCGGGAGAATGGTGCGGGGTGATGGAAAGCGGGAGAATGAGGCGAGGTGATGGAAAGTGGGAGAATGGGGCCGGTGATGGAAAGCGGGAGAATGGGGCGGGGTGATGGAAAGCGGGAGAATGGGGCGGGGTGATGGAAAGCAGGAGAATGGGGTGGGGTGATGGAAGCGGGAGAATGGGGCGGGGTGATGGAAAGCGGGAGAATGGGGCGGGGTGATGGAAAGCGGAAGAATGGGGCGGGGTGATGGAAAGGGGGAGAATGGGGCGGGGTGATGGAAAGCGGGAAAATGGGGCGGGTGATGGAAGGAGGGAGAATGTGGCGAGGTGATGGAAGGAGGGAGAATGGGGCGAGGTGATGGAAAGCGGGAGTATGGGGCGGGCTGATGGTACCTTGAGAATGGGGCGGGGTGATGGAAAGCGGGAGAATGGGGCAGAGTGATGGAAAGCGGGAAAATGAGTCGGGATGATGGAATGCGGGAGAATGGGGCGGGGTGATGGAAGGACGGAGAATGGGGCGGGGTGATGGAAAGCGGGAGAATGGGGCGGGGTGGTGGAAAGCGGGAGAATTGGGCGGGGTGATGGAAAGCGGGAGAATGGGGCGGGGTGATGGAAAGTGGGAGAATGGGGCGGGGTGATGGAAAGCGGGAGAATGGGCCGGGGTGATGGAAAGCGGAAGAATGAGGCGGGGTGATGGAAAGCGGGAGAATGGGGCGGGGTGATGGAAAGCGGCAGAATGGGGCGGGGTGATGGAAAGCGGGAGAATGGGGCGGGGTGATGGAACGTGGGAAAATGGGGCGTGGTGATGGAAAGCAGGAGAATGGAGCGGGGTGATGGAAGGTGGGAGAATGGGCCGGGGTGATGGAAAGCGGGAGAATGGGGCGGGATGATGGAAAGCGGGAGAATTGGGCAGGCTGATGGAAAGCGGGAGAATGGGGTGGGGTGATGGAAAGCGCAAAAATGGGGCGGGGTGATGGAAGGAGGGAGAATGGGGCGGGGTGATGGAAAGCGGGAGAATGGGGCAGGGTGATGGAAAGCGGGAGAATGGGGCGGGGTGATGGAAGGAGGGAGAATGGGGCGTGGTGATGGAAGGAGGGAGAATGGGGCTGGGTGATGGAAAGCGGGAGTATGGGGCGGGGTGATGGAAAGCGGGAGAATGGGCCGAAGTGATGGACAGCGGGAGAATGGGGCGGGGTGATGGAAAGCAGGAGAATGGGGCGGGGTGATGGAAAGCGGGAGAATCGGGCGGGGTGATGGAAAGCGGGAGAATGGGGCGGAGTGATGGAAAGCGGGAAAATCAGTCGGGGTGATGGAAAGGGGGAGAATGGGACGGGGTGATGGAAAGCGGAAAAATGGGGCGGGTGATGGAAGGAGGGAGAATGGGGCGAGGTGATGGAAGGAGGGAGAATGGGGCGAGGTGATGGAAAGCAGGAGTATGGGGCGGGGTGATGGAAACCGGGAGAATGGGGCGCGGTGATGGAAAGCGGGAGAATCGGACGGAGTGATGGAAAGCGGGAAAATGAGTCAGGGTGATGGAATGCGGGAGAATGGGGTGGGGTGATGGAAAGAAGGAGAATGGGGCGGAGTAATGGAAAGCGGGAAAATGAGTCGGGGTGATGGAATGTGGGAGAATGGGGTGGGGTGATGGAAAGCGGGAGAATGGGGTGGGTGATGGAAAGCGGGAGAATGGGACGGGGTGATGGAAAGCGGGAGAATGGGGCGGGGTGATGGAAAGCGGGAGAATGGGGTGGGGTGATGGAAAGCGGGAGAATGGGGCGGGGTGATGGAAAGCGGGAGAATGGGGCGGGGTGATGGAAAGCGGGAGAATGGGGTGGGGTGATGGAAAGCGGGAGAATGGGGCGGGGTGATGGAAAGCGGGAGAATGGGGCGGGGTGATGGAAAGCGGAAGAATGGGGCGGGGTGATGGAAAGGGGGAGAATGGGGCGGGGTGATGGAAAGCGGGAAAATGGGGCGGGTGATGGAAGGAGGGAGAATGTGGCGAGGTGATGGAAGGAGGGAGAATGGGGCGAGGTGATGGAAAGCGGGAGTATGGGGCGGGGTGATGGAAACCGGGAGAATGGGGCGGGGTGATGGAAAGCGGGAGAATGGGGCAGAGTGATGGAAAGCGGGAAATTGAGTCGGGATGATGGAATGCGGGAGAATGGGGCGGGGTGATGGAAAGCGGGAGAATGGGGTGGGTGATGGAAAGCGGGAGAATGGGGCGGGGTGATGGAAAGCGGGAGAATGGGGCGGGGTGACGCAAAGCGGGAGAATGGTGTGGGGTGATGAAAAGTGGGAGAATGGGGCGGGGTGATGGAAAGCGGGAGAATGGGGCAGGGTGAAGGAAAGCGGGAGAATGGGGAGGAGTGATGGAAAGTGGGAGAACGGGGCGGGGTGATGGAAAGGGGGAGAATGGTGCGGGGTGATGGAAAGCGGGAAAATGGGGCGGGTGATGGAAGGAGGGAGAATGGGGCGAGGTGATGGAAGGAGGGAGAATGGGGCAAGGTGATGGAAAGCGGGAGTATGGGGCGGGTTGATAGAAACCGGGAGAATGGGGCGGGGCGATGGAAAACGGGAGAATGGGGCGGGGTTATGGAAAGCGGGAGAATGGGGCGGGGTGATGGAAAGCGGGAGAATGGGCCAGGGTGATGGAAAGCGGGAGATTTGGGTGGGGTAATGGAAAGCGGGAGAATGGGGCGGGGTGATGGAAAGCGGGAGAATGGGGCGGGGTGATGGAAAGCAGGAGAATGGGACGGGGTGATGGAAAGGGGGAGAATGGGGCGGAGTGATGGAAAGCGGCAAAATGGGGCGGGGTGATGGAAAGCGGGAGAATAGGGCGGGGTGATGGAGAGCAGGAGAATGGGGCGGGGTGATGGAAAGGGGGAGAATGGGGCGGGGTGATGGAAAGCGGAGAAATGGGGCGGGTGATGGAAAGCGGGAGAATGGGGTGGGGTGATGGAAAGGGGGAGAATGTGGCGTTGTGATGGAAAGCGGGAGAATGTGGAGGGGTGATGGAAGGAGGGAGAATGGGGCGGGGTGATGGAAGGAGGGAGAATGGGGCGAGGTGATGGAAAGCGGGAGTATGGGGCGGGGTGATGGAAAGCGGAAGAATGGGGCGGGGTGATGGAAAGCGGGAGAATGGGGCGGAGTGATGGAAAGCGGGAAAATGAGTCGGGGTGATGGAATGCGGGAGAATGGGGCGGGGTGATGGAAAGCGGGAGAATGGGGTGGGTGATGGAAAGCGGGAGAATGGGGCGGGGTGATGGAAAGCGGGAGAATGGGGCGGGGTGATGGAAAGCGGGAGAATGGGACGTGGTGATGGAAAGCGGGAGAGTGGGGCGGGGTGATGGAAGGAGGGAGAATGGGGGGGGTGATGGAAAGTGGGAGTATGGGGCGTTGTGATGGAAAGCGGGAGAATGGGCCGGGGTGATGGAAAGCGGGAGAATGGGGCGGGGTGATGGAAAGCGGGAGAATGGGGCGGGGTGATGGAAAGCGGGAGAATGGGGCGGGGTGATGGAAAGCGGGAGAATGGGGCGGGGTGATGGAAAGGGGGAGAATGTTGCGTTGTGATGGAAAGCGGGAGAATGGGGAGGGGTGATGGAAGGAGGGAGAATGGGGCGGGGTGATGGAAGGAGGGAGAATGGGGCGAGGTGATGGAAAGCGGGAGTATGGTGCGGGGTGATGGAAAGCGGAAGAATGGGGCGGGGTGATGGAAAGCGGGAAAATGAGTCGGGGTGATGGAATGCGGGAGAATGGGGCGGGGTGATGGAAAGCGGGAGAATGGGGTGGGTGATGGAAAGCGGGAGAATGGGGCGGGGTGACGGAAAGCGGGAGAATGCTGCGGGGTGATGGAAAGCGGGAGAATGGGGCGGGGTGATGGAAAGCGGGAGAATGGGGCGGGGTGATGGAAGGAGGGAGAATGGGGCGGGGTGATGGAAAGCGGGAGAATGGGGCGGAGTGATGGAAAGCGGGAAAATGAGTCGGGGTGATGGAATGCGGGAGAATGGGGCGGGGTGATGGAAGGAGGGAGAATGGGGTGGGGTGATGGAAAGTGGGAGTATGGGGCGTTGTGATGGAAAGCGGGAGAATGGGGCGGGGTGATGGAAAGCGGGAGAATGGGGCGGGGTGATGGAAAGCGGGAGAATGGGGCGGGGTGATGGAAAGCGGGAGAATGGGGCGGGGTGATGGAAAGCGGGAGAATGGGGCGGGGTGATGGAAAGGGGGAGAGTGGGGCGGGGTGACGGAAAGCGGGTTGAACACACGGTGGGTTGAACACACGGTGGGTTGAACACACGGTAGGTTTAACACACGGTGGGTTGAACCATTGTGGGTTGAACACACGGTGGGTTTAATACACAGTGGGATGAACACACGGTGGGTTGAACACACGGTGGGTTGAACACACGGTAGGTTTAACACACGGTGGGTTGAACACACCGTGGGTTGAACACACGGTAGGTTTAACACACGGTGGGTTGAACACACAGTGGGTTTAACACACGGTAGGTTTAACACACGGTGGGTTTAACACACAGTGGGTTTAACACACGGTGGGTTGAACACACTGTGGGTTGAACACACGGTGGGTTGAACACACGGTAGGTTTAACCCACGGTGGGTTGAACACACGGTAGGTTGAACACACGGTGGGTTGAACACACGGTAGGTTTAACACACGGTGGGTCACACGGTAGGTTGAACACACGGTAGGTTTAACACACGGTGGGTTGAACACACGGTGGGTTGAACACACGGTGGGTTGAACACACGGTAGGTTTAACACACAGTGGGTTGAACCATTATGGGTTGAACACACGGTGGGTTTAATACACAGTGGGTTGAACACACGGTGGGTTGAACACACGGTGGGTTGAACACACGGTAGGTTTAACACACGGTGGGTTGAACACACAATGGGTTGAACACACGGTAGGTTTAACACACGGTGGGTTGAACACACAGTGGGTTTAACACACGGTAGGTTTAACACACGGTGGGTTTAACAAACAGTGGGTTTAACACACGGTGGGTTGAACACACGGTGGGTTGAACACACGGTGGGTTGAACACACGGTAGGTTGAACACACGGTGGGTTGAACGCACGGTGGGTTGAACACACGGTATGTTTAACACACGGTGGGTTGAACACACGGTGGGTTGAACACACGGTGGGTTGAACACACGGTGGGTTGAACACACGGTATGTTGAACACATGGTGGGTTGAACACACGGTGGGTTGAACACACGGTAGGTTTTACACATGGTGGGTTGAACACACGGTGGGTTGAACACACGGTGGGTTGAACACACGGTAGGTTCAACACACGGTGGGTTGAACACACGGTGGGTTGAACACACAGTCGGTTTAACATACGGTGGGTTGAACACACGGTGGGTTGAACACACGGTGGGCTGAACACACGGTTGGTTTAACACACGATGGGTTGAACACATGGTGGGTTGAACACACGGTGGGTTGAACACACGGTGGGTTGAACACACGGTAGGTTTAATACACGGTGGGTTGAACACACGGTAGGTTGAACACACGGTAGGATTAACACACGGTGGGTTGAACACACGGTGGGATGAACACACGGTGGGTTGAACACACCGTGGGTTGAACACACGGTAGGTTTAACACACGGTGGGTTGAACACACGGTGGGTTGAACACACGGTGGGTTGAACACACGGTGGGTTGAACACACGGTGGGTTGAACACCCGGTGGGTTTAACACACGGTAGGTTTAACACACAGTGGGTTGAACACACGGTGGGTTGAACACACGGTGGGTTTAACACACGGTAGGTTTAACACACGGTGGGTTGAACACACGGTGGGTTGAACACACGGTGGGTTGAATACACGGTGGGTTGAACACACTGTGGGTTTAACACACGGTGGGTTAAACACACGGTGGGTTGAACACACGGTGGGTTGAACACACGGTAGGTTTAACACACGGTGGGTTGAACACACGGTGGGTTGAACACACGGTAGGTTGAACACACGGTGGGTTGAACACATGGTGGGTTTTACACACGGTGGGTTTAACACACGGTGGGTTGAACACACGATGGGTTGAACACACGGTTGGTTGAACACACGGTAGGTTTAACACACGGTGGGTTGAACACACGGTGGGTTGAACACACGGTGGGTTGAACACACGGTAGGTTTAACACACGGTGGGTTGAACCATTGTGGGTTGAACACACGGTGGGTTTAATACACAGTGGGTTGAACACACGGTGGGTTGAACACACGGTGGGTTGAACACACGGTAGGTTTAACACACGGTGGGTTGAACACACCGTGGGTTGAACACACGGTAGGTTTAACACACAGTGGGTTGAACACACAGTGGGTTTAACACACGGTAGGTTTAACACACGGTGGGTTTAACACACAGTGGGTTTAACACACGGTGGGTTGAACACACGGTGGGTTGAACACACGGTGGGTTGAACACACGGTAGGTTTAACCCACGGTGGGTTGAACACACGGTAGGTTGAACATACGGTGGGTTGAACACACGGTAGGTTTAACACACGGTGGGTCACACGGTAGGTTGAACACACGGTAGGTTTAACACACGGTGGGTTGAACACACGGTGGGTTGAACACACGGTGGGTTGAACACACGGTAGGTATAACACACAGTGGGTTGAACCATTATGGGTTGAACACACGGTGGGTTTAATACACAGTGGGTTGAACACACGGTGGGTTGAACACACGGTGGGTTGAACACACGGTAGGTTTAACACACGGTGGGTTGAACACACGGTGGGTTGAACACACGGTAGGTTTAACACACGGTGGGTTGAACACACAGTGGGTTTAACACACGGTAGGTTTAACACACGGTGGGTTTAACACACAGTGGGTTTAACACACGGTGGGTTGAACACACGGTGGGTTGAACACACGGTGGGTTGAACACACGGTAGGTTTAACCCACGGTGGGTTGAACACACGGTGGGTTGAACACACGGTGGGTTGAACGCACGGTGGGTTGAACACACGGTATGTTTAACACACGGTGGGTTGAACACACGGTGGGTTGAACACACGGTGGGTTGAACACACGGTGGGTTGAACACACGGTATGTTGAACACATGGTGGGTTGAACACACGGTGGGTTGAACACACGGTAGGTTTTACACATGGTGGGTTGAACACACGGTGGGTTGAACACACGGTGGGTTGAACACACGGTAGGTTTAACACACGGTGGGTTGAACACACGGTGGGTTGAACACACGGTCGGTTTAACATACGGTGGGTTGAACACACGGTGGGTTGAACACACGGTGGGCTGAACACACGGTTGGTTTAACACACGATGGGTTGAACACATGGTGGGTTGAACACACGGTGGGTTGAACACACGGTGGGTTGAACACACGGTAGGTTTAACACACGGTGGGTTGAACACACGGTAGGTTGAACACACGGTAGGTTTAACACACGGTGGGTTGAACACACGGTGGGATGAACACACGGTGGGTTGAACACACGGTGGGTTGAACACACGGTAGGTTTAACACACGGTGTGTTGAACACACGGTGGGTTGAACACACGGTGGGTAGAACACACGGTGGGTTGAACACCCGGTGGGTTTAACACACGGTAGGTTTAACACACAGTGGGTTGAACACACGGTGGGTTGAACACACGGTGGGTTTAACACACGGTAGGTGTAACACACGGTGGGTTGAACACACGGTGGGTTGAACACACGGTGGGTTGAATACACGGTGGGTTGAACACACGGTGGGTTTAACACACGGTGGGTTAAACATACGGTGGGTTGAACACACGGTGGGTTGAACACACGGTAGGTTTAACACACGGTGGGTTGAACACACGGTGGGTTGAACACACGGTAGGTTTAACACACGGTGGGTTGAACACATGGTGGGTTGAACACATGCTGGGTTTAACACAGAGTGGGTTGAACACACGGTGGGTTGAACACACGGTGGGTTGAACACACGGTAGGCTTAACACACGGTGGGTTGAACACACGGTGGGTTGAACACACGGTAGGTTTAACACACGGTGGGTTGAACATATGGCCGGTTGAACACACGGTGGGTTTAACACACGGTGGGTTGAACACACGATGGGTTGAACACACGGTAGGTTTAACACACGGTGGGTTTAACCCACGGTGGGTTGAACACACGGTGGGTTGAACACACGGTGGGTTGAACACACGGTGTGTTGAACACACGGTAGGTTTAACACACGGTGGGTTTAACACACTGTCGGTTGAACACACGGTGGGTTTAACACACGGTGGGTTGAACACACGGTGGGTTGAACACACGGTAGGTTTAACACATGGTGGGTTGAACACACGGTGGGTTGAACACACGGTGGGTTGAACACACGGTAGGTTTAACACACGGTGGGTTGAACACACGGTGACTTGAACACACGGTAGGTTTAACACACGGTGGGTTGAACAGACGGTGGGTTGAACACACGGTGGGCTGAACACACGGTAGGTTTAACACACGGTGGGTTGAACACACGGTGGGTTGAACACACGGTGGGTTGAACACACGGTGGGTTGAACACACGGTATGTTGAACACATGGTGGGTTGAACACACGGTGGGTTGAACACACGGTAGGTTGAACACATGGTGTGTTGAACACACGGTGGGTTGAACACACGGTAGGTTGAACACACGGTGGGTTGAACACACAGTAGGTTTAACACACGGTGGGTTGAACACACGGTGGGTTGAACACACGGTGGGTTGAAAACACGGTGGGTTGAACACACGGTGGGTTGAACACACGGTGGGTTGAACACCTGGTGGGTTTAACACACGGTAGGTTTAACACACAGTGGGTTGAACACATGGTGGGTTGAACACACGGTGGGTTGAACACACGGTGGGTTGAACACACGGTAGGTTTAACACACGGTGGGTTGAACACACGGTAGGTTGAACACACGGTGGGTTGAACACACGGTGGGTTGAACACACGGTGGGTTGAACACACGGTGGGTTGAACACACGGTAGGTTTAACACACGGTGGGTTGAACACACGGTGGGTTGAACACACGGTGGGTTGAACACACGGTGGGTTGAACACACGGTGGGTTGAACACACGGTGGGTTGAACACCCGGTGGGTTTAACACACGGTAGGTTTAACACACGGTGGGTTGAACACACGGTAGGTTTAACACACGGTGGGTTGAACACACACGGTGGGTTGAACACACGGTGGGTTGAACACACGGTGGGTTGAACACACGGTGGGTTGAACACCCGGTGGGTTTAACACATGGTAGGTTTAACACACAGTGAGTTGAACACACGGTGGGTTGAACACACGGTGGGTTTGACACACGGTAGGTTTAACACACGGTGGGTTGAACACACGGTGGGTTGAACACACGGTAGGTTTAACACACGGTGGGTTGAACACATGGTGGGTTTAACACATGCTGGGTTTAACACAGAGTGGGTTGAACACACGGTGGGTTGAACACACGGTGGGTTGAACACACGGTAGGCTTAACACACGGTGGGTTGAACACACGGTGGGTTGAACACACGGTAGGTTTAACACACGGTGGGTTGAACATATGGCCGGTTGAACACACGGTGGGTTTAACACACGGTGGGTTGAACACACGATGGGTTGAACACACGGTAGGTTTAACACACGGTGGGTTTAACCCACGGTGGGTTGAACACACGGTGGGTTGAACACACGGTGGGTTGAACACACGGTGTGTTGAACACACGGTAGGTTTAACACACGGTGGGTTTAACACACTGTCGGTTGAACACACGGTGGGTTTAACACACGGTGGGTTGAACACACGGTGGGTTGAACACACGGTAGGTTTAACACATGGTGGGTTGAACACACGGTGGGTTGAACACACGGTGGGTTGAACACACGGTAGGTTTAACACACGGTGGGTTGAACACACGGTGACTTGAACACACGGTAGGTTTAACACACGGTGGGTTGAACAGACGGTGGGTTGAACACACGGTGGGCTGAACACACGGTAGGTTTAACACACGGTGGGTTGAACACACGGTGGGTTGAACACACGGTGGGTTGAACACACGGTGGGTTGAACACACGGTATGTTGAACACATGGTGGGTTGAACACACGGTGGGTTGAACACACGGTAGGTTGAACACATGGTGTGTTGAACACACGGTGGGTTGAACACACGGTAGGTTGAACACACGGTGGGTTGAACACACAGTAGGTTTAACACACGGTGGGTTGAACACACGGTGGGTTGAACACACGGTGGGTTGAAAACACGGTGGGTTGAACACACGGTGGGTTGAACACACGGTGGGTTGAACACCTGGTGGGTTTAACACACGGTAGGTTTAACACACAGTGGGTTGAACACATGGTGGGTTGAACACACGGTGGGTTGAACACACGGTGGGTTGAACACACGGTAGGTTTAACACACGGTGGGTTGAACACACGGTAGGTTGAACACACGGTGGGTTGAACACACGGTGGGTTGAACACACGGTGGGTTGAACACACGGTGGGTTGAACACACGGTAGGTTTAACACACGGTGGGTTGAACACACGGTGGGTTGAACACACGGTGGGTTGAACACACGGTGGGTTGAACACACTTTGGGTTGAACACACGGTGGGTTGAACACCCGGTGGGTTTAACACACGGTAGGTTTAACACACGGTGGGTTGAACACACGGTAGGTTTAACACACGGTGGGTTGAACACACACGGTGGGTTGAACACACGGTGGGTTGAACACACGGTGGGTTGAACACACGGTGGGTTGAACACCCGGTGGGTTTAACACATGGTAGGTTTAACACACAGTGAGTTGAACACACGGTGGGTTGAACACACGGTGGGTTTGACACACGGTAGGTTTAACACACGGTGGGTTGAACACACGGTGGGTTGAACACACGGTGGGTTGAACACACGGTGGGTTGAACACACGGTAGGTTTAACACACGGTGGGTTTAACACACGGTGGGTTGAACACACGGTGGGTTGAACACACGGTAGGTTTAACACACGGTGGGTTGAACACACGGTGGGTTGAACACACGGTGGGTTGAACACACGGTAGGTTTAACACACGGTGGGTTGAACACATGGTGGGTTGAACACACGGTAGGTTGAACACCCGGTGGGTTTAACACACGGTAGGTTTAACACACAGTGGGTTGAACACACGGTGGGTTGAACACACGGTGGGTTTAACACACGGTAGGTTTAACACACGGTGGGTTGAACACACGGTGGGTTGAACACACGGTGGGTTGAATACACGGTGGGTTGAACACACGGTGGATTTAACACACGGTGGGTTAAACACACGGTGGGTTGAACACACGGTGGGTTGAACACACGGTAGGTTTAACACACGGTGGGTTGAACACACGGTGGGTTGAACACACGGTAGGTTTAACACATGGTGGGTTGAATACACGGTGGGTTGAACACACAGTGGGTTGAACACACGGTAGGTTTAACACACGGTGGGTTGAACACACGGTGGGTTGAACACACGGTAGGTTTAACACACGGTGGGTTGAACACACGGTGGGTTGAACACACGGTAGGTTGAACACACGGTGGGTTGAACACACGGTATGTTGAACACACGGTGGGTTGAACACACGGTAGGTTTAACACACAGTGGGTTGAACACATGGTGGGTTGAACACACGGTAGGTTTAACACTCGGTAGGTTTAACACACAGTGAGTTGAACACACGGTGGGTTGAACACACGGTGGGTTTGACACACGGTAGGTTTAACACACGGTGGTTTGAACACACGGTGGGTTGAACACACGGTGGGTTGAACACACGGTGGGTTGAACACACGGTAGGTCTAACACACGGTGGGTTTAACACACGGTGGGTTGAACACACGGTGGGTTGAACACACGGTAGGTTTAACACACGGTGGGTTGAACACACGGTGGGTTGAACACACGGTGGGTTGAACACACGGTAGGTTTAACACACGGTGGGTTGAACACATGGTGGGTTGAACACACGGTAGGTTTAACACACGGTGGGTTGAACACACGGTGGGTTGAACACACGGTGGGTTGAACACACGGTAGGTCTAACACACGGTGGGTTGAACACACGGTGGGTTGAACACATGGTGGGTTGAACACACTGTGGGTTGAACACATGGTGGGTTGAACACACGGTGGGTTGAACACACGGTAGGTTGAACACACGGTAGGTTGAACACACGGTAGGTCTAACACACGGTAGGTTTAACGCACGGTGGGTTGAACACACGGTGGGTTGAACACACGGTGGGTTTAACACACAGTGGGTTGAACACACGGTAGGTTTAACACACGGTAGGTTTAACACACGGTGGGTTTAACGCACGGTGGGTTGAACACACGGTGGGTTGAACACACGGTGGGTTGAACACACGGTGTGTTTAACACATGGTGGGTTGAACACACGGTGGGTTGAACACACTGTGGGTTTAACACACTGTGGGTTTAACACACGGTGGGTTGAACACACGGTGGGTTGAACACACGGTAGGTTTAACACATGGTGGGTTGAACACACGGTGGGTTGAACACATGGTGGGTTGAACACACGGTAGGTTTAACACACGGTGGGTTGAACACACGGTGGGTTGAACACACGGTAGGTTGAACACACGGTGGGTTGAACACACGGTATGTTGAACACACGGTGGGTTGAACACACGGTAGGTTTAACACACGGTGGGTTGAACACACGGTGTGTTGAACACACGGTGGGTTGAATACACGGTGGTTTGAACACACGGTATGTTGAACACACGGTGGATTGAACACACGGTGGGTTGAACACACGGTGGGTTGAACACACGGTGGGTTGAACACACGGTGGGTTGAACACACGGTGGGTTGAACACACGGTGGGTTGAACACGCGGTGGGTTTAACACACGGTGGGTTGAACACGCGGTGGGTTGAACACACGGTGGGTTGAACACACAATGGGTATAACACAAGGTAGGTTTAACACACGGTGGGTTGAACACACGGTGGGTTTAACACACGGTAGGTTGAACACACGGTGGGTTGAACACACGGTAGGTTTAACACACGGTGGGTATAACACAAGGTAGGTTTAACACACGGTGGGTTGAACACACGGTAGGTTTAACACACGGTGGGTTGAACACACGGTGGGTTGAACACACGGTGGGTTGAACACACGGTAGGTTGAACACACGGTGGGTTGAACACATGGTGGGTTTAACACACGGTGGGTTGAACACACGGTGGGAACACACGGTGGGTTGAACACACGGTGGGTTGAACACACGGTAGGTTGAACACACGGTAGGTTGAACACACGGTGGGTTGAACACACGGTGGGTTGAACACACGGTGGGTTGAACACACGGTAGGTTGAACACACGGTGGGTTGAACACACGGTGGGTTGAACACACGGTGGGTTGAACACCCGGTGGGTTGAACACCCGGTGGGTTTAACACACGGTGGGTTTAACACACAGTGGGTTGAACACACGGTGGGTTGAACACACGGTGGGTTTAACACACGGTAGGTTTAACACACGGTGGGTTGAACACACGGTGGGTTGAACACACAGTAGGTTGAACACACGGTGCGTTGAACACACAGTGGGTTTAACACACGGTGGGTTTAACACACCGTGGGTTGAACACACGGTGGGTTTAACAAACGGTGGGTTGAACACATGGTGGGTTGAACACACGGTGGGTTGAACACACGGTGGGTTGAACACACGGTATGTTGAACACATGGTGGGTTGAACACACGGTGGGTTGAACACACGGTAGGTTTTACACACGGTGGGTTGAACACACGGTGGGTTGAACACACAGTGGGTTTAACACACGGTGGGTTGAACACACGGTAGGTTGAACACACGGTGGGTTGAACACACGGTGGGTTGAACACACGGTGGGTTGAACACACGGTGGGTTGAACACCCGGTAGGTTTAACACACGATGGGTTTAACACACAGTGGGTTGAACACACGGTGGGTTGAACACACGGTGGGTTTAACACACGGTAGATTTAACACACAGTGGGTTGAACACACGGTGGGTTGAACACACAGTAGGTTGAACACACGGTGCGTTGAACACACAGTGGGTTTAACACACGGTGGGTTTAACACACCGTGGGTTGAACACGCGGTGGGTTTAACAAACGGTGGGTTGAACACACGGTGGGTTGAACACACGGTGGGTTGAACACACGGTGGGTTGAACACACGGTATGTTGAACACATGGTGGGTTGAACACACGGTGGGTTGAACACACGGTAGGTTTTACACACGGTGGGTTGAACACACGGTGGGTTGAACACACGGTGGGTTGAACACACGGTGGGTTGAACACATGGTGGGTTGAACACACGGTGGGTTGAACACACGGTAGGTTTAACACACGGTGGGTTGAACACACGGTGGGTTGAAAACACGGTGGGTTGCACACACGGTAGGTTGAACACACGGTGGGTTGAACACACGGTGGGTTGAACACACGGTAGGTTGAACACACGGTGGGTTGAACACACGGTGGGTTGAACACACGGTGGGTTGAACACACGGTGGGTTGAACACACGGTGGGTTGAACACCCGGTGGGTTTAACACACGGTAGGTTTAACATACAGTGGGTTGAACACATGGTGGGTTGAACACACGGTGGGTTGAACACACGGTGGGTTGAACACACGGTAGGTTTAACACACGGTGGGTTGAACACATGGTAGGTTTAACACACGGTGGGTTGAACACACGGTGGGTTGAACACACGGTGGGTTGAAGACACGGTGGGTTGAACACACGGTGGGTTGAACACACGGTGGGTTGAACACACGGTGGGTTGAACACACGGTAGGTTGAACACACGGTGGGTTGAACACACGGTGGGTTGAATACACGGTGGGTTGAACATACGGTGGGTTGAACACCCGGTGGGTTTAACACACGGTAGGTTTAACACACAGTGGGTTGAACACACGGTGGGTTGAACACACCGTGGGTTGAACACACGGTGGGTTGAACACACGGTGGGTTGAACACACGGTGGGTTGAACACACGGTAGGTTTAACACACGGTGGGTTTAACACACGGTGGGTTGAACACACGGTGGGTTGAACACACGGTAGGTTGAACACACGGTGGGTTGAACACACGGTGGGTTGAACACACGGTGGGTTGAACACACGGTAGGTTGACGGAAAGCAGGAGAATGCTGCGGGGTGATGGAAAGCGGGAGAATGGGGCGGGGTGATGGAAAGCGGGAGAATGGGGCGGGGTGATGGAAAGCGGGAAAATGGAGCGGGGTGATGGAAGGAGGGAGAATGGGGCGGGCTGATGGAAAGCGGGAGTATGGGGCGTTGTGATGGAAAGCGGGAGAAGGGGGCGGGGTGATGGAAGGAGAGAGAATGGGGCGAGGTGATGGAAAGCGGGAGAATGGTGCGGGGTGATGGAAAGTGGGAGAATGAGGCGAGGTGATGGAAAGTGGGAGAATGGGCCCGGTGATGGAAAGCGGGAGAATGGGGCGGGGTGATGGAAAGCAGGAGAATGGGGCGGGGTGATAGAAAGGGGGAGAATGGGGCGGGGTGATGGAAGGTGGGAGAATGGGGCAGGGTGATGGAAGGATGGAGAATGGGGCGGGGTGGTGGAAAGCGGGAGAATGGGGCGGGGTGATGGAAAGCGGGAGAAGGGGGCAGGGTGATGGAAAGTGGGAGAATGGGGCGGGGTGATGGAAAGCGGGAGAATGGGCCGGGGTGATGGAAAGCGTGAGAAGGGGGCAGGGTGATGGAAAGTGGGAGAATGGGGCGGGGTGATGGAATGCGGGAGAATGGGCCGGGGTGATGGAAAGCAGAAGAATGAGGCGGGGTGATGGAAAGCGGGAGAATGGGGCGGGGTGATGGAAAGCGGCAGAATGGGGCGGGGTGATGGAAAGCGGGAGAATGGGGCGGGGTGATGGAAAGTGGGAGAATGGGGCGGGGTGATGGGAAGCAGGAGAATGGAGCGGGGTGATGGAAGGTGGGATTATGGGGCGGGGTAAAGGAAAGCGGGAGAATGGGGCGGGATGATGGAAAGCGGGAGAATTGGGCGGGCTGATGGAAAGCGGGAGAATGCGGTGGGGTGATGGAAAGCGGAAAAATGGGGCGGGGTGATAGAAGGAGGGAGAATGGGGCGGGGTGATGGAAAGCGGGAGAATGGGGCGGGGTGATGGAAAGCGGGAAAATGGGGCGGGGTGATGCAAGGAGGGAGAATGGGGCGTGGTGATGGAAGGAGGGAGAATGGGGCTGGGTGATGGAAAGCGGGAGTATGGGGCGGGGTGATGGAAAGCGGGAGGATGGGGCGGGGTGATGGAAAGCGGGAGAATGGGGTGGGTGATGGAAAGCGGGGGAATGGGGCGGGGTGATGGAAAGCGGGAGAATGGGGCGGGGTGATGGAAAGAGGGAGAATGGGGCGGGGTGATGGAAAGCGGGAGTATGGGGCGAGGTGATGGAAAGTGCGAGAATGGGGCGGGGTGATGGAAAGCGGGAGAATGGAGCGGAGTGATGGAAAGCGGGAAAATGAGTCCGGGTGATGGAATGCGGGAGAATGGGGCGGGGTGATTGAAAGCGGGGGAATGGGGCAGGGTGATGGAAAGCGGGAGAATGGGGCGGGGTGATGGAAAGCGGGAGAATGGGACGGGGTGATGGAAGGAGGGAGAATGGGGCGGGGTGATGGAAAGAGGGAGAATGGGGCGGGGTGATGGAAAGCGGGAGTATGGGGCGAGGTGATGGAAAGCGCGAGAATGGGGCGGGGTGATGGAAAGCGGGAGAATGGAGCGGAGTGATGGAAAGCGGGAAAATGAGTCCGGGTGATGGAATGCGGGAGAATGGGGCGGGGTGATGGAAAGCGGGAGAATGGGGTGGGTGATGGAAAGCGGGAGAATGGGGCGGGGTGATGGAAAGTAGGAGAATGGGGCGGGGTAATTGAAGGAGGGAGAATGGGGTGGGGTGATGGAAAGTGAGAGAATGGGGCAGGTTGATGGAAAGCGGGAGAACGGGGCGGGGTGACGGGAAGCGGGAGAATGGGGTGGGGTGATGGAAGGAGGGAGAATGGGGCGAGGTGATGGAAAGGGGGAGAATGGTGCGGGGTGATGGAAAGCGGGAGAATGAGGCGTGGTGATCGAAAGCGGGAGAATGGGGTGGGGTGATGGAAAGCAGGAAAATGGGGTGGGTTGATGGAAAGTGGGAGAATGGGGCGGGGTGATGGAAAGCGGGAGAATGGGGCAGGGTGATGGAAAGCGGGAGAATGGGGTGGGGTGATGGAAAGCGGGAGAATGGGGCGGGGTGATGGAAGGTGGGAGAATGGGGCGGGGTGATGGAAGGAGGGAGAATGGGGCGGGGTGATGGAAAGCGGGAGAATGGGGCGCGGTGATGGAAAGCGGGAGAATGGGGCGGGGTTGTGGAAAGCGGGAGAATGGGGCGGGGTAATGGAAAGTGGGAGAATGGGGCGGGGTGATGGAAAGCGGGAGAATGGGGCGGGGTGATGGAATGCGGGAGATTTGGGCGGGTGATGGAAAGGGGGAGAATGGGGCGGGGTGATGGAAAGCGGGAAAATGGGGCGGGGTGATGGAAAGCGGGAGAATGGGGCGGGGCGATGGAAAGCAGGAGAATGGGGCGGGTTGATGGAAAGCAGGAGAATGGGGTGGGTGATGGAAAGGGGGAGAATGGGGCGGGGTGATGGAAAGCGGGACAATGGGGCGTTGTGATGGAAAGCGAGAGAATGGAGCGGAGTGATGGAAGGAGGGAGAAGGGGGCGGGGTGATGGAAGGAGGGAGAATGGGGCGGGGTGATGGAAAGCGGGAGCATGGGGCGGGGTGATGGAAAGTGGGAAAATGGGGCGGGGTGATGGAAAGCAGGAGAATGGGGCGGAGTGATGGAAAGCGGAAGAATGAGGCGGGGTGATGGAAAGCGGGAGAATGGGGTGGGGCGATGGAAAGCGGCAGAATGGGGCGGAGTGATGGAAAGCGGGAGAATGGGGCGGGGTGATGGAAAGTGGGAGAATGGGGCGGGGTGATTGAAAGCAGGAGAATGGAGCGGGGTGATGAAAGGTGGGAGAATGGGGCGGGATGATGGAAAGCGGGAGAATGGGGCGGGATGATGGAAAGCGGGAGAATTGCGCGGGGTGATGGAAAGCGGGAGAATGGGGTGGGGTGATGGAAAGCGGGAGAATGGGGCGGGGTGATGGAAAGTAGGAGAATGGGGTGGGGTAATGGAAGGAGGGAGAATGGGGTGGGGTGATGGAAAGTGAGAGAATGGGGCAGGTTGATGGAAAGCGGGAGAACGGGGCGGGGTGACGGAAAGCGGGAGAATGGGGTGGGGTGATGGAAGGAGGGAGAATGGGGCGAGGTGATGGAAAGGGGGAGAATGGTGCGGGGTGATGGAAAGCGGGAGAATGAGGCGTGGTGATCGAAAGCGGGAGAATGGGGCGGGGTGATGGAAAGCGGGAGAATGGGGTGGGTTGATGGAAAGTGGGAGAATGGGGCGGGGTGATGGAAAGCGGGAGAATGGGGCAGGGTGATGGAAAGCGGGAGAATGGGGTGGGGTGATGGAAAGCGGGAGAATGGGGCGGGGTGATGGAAGGTGGGAGAATGGGGCGGGGTGATGGAAGGAGGGAGAATGGGGCGGGGTGATGGAAAGCGGGAGAATGGGGCGGGGTGATGGAAAGCGGGAGATTAGGGCGGGGTTATGGAAAGCGGGAGAATGGGGCGGGGTGATGGAAAGTGGGAGAATGGGGCGGGGTGATGGAAAGCGGCAGAATGGGGCGGGGTGATGGAAAGCGGTTGATTTGGGCGGGGTGATGGAATGCCGGAGAATGGGGAGGGGTGATGGAATGGGGGACAATGGGGCGGGGTGATGGAAAGCAGGAGAATGGGGCGGGTGATGGAAAGGGGGAGAATGGGGCGGGGTGATGGAAAGCGGGAAAATGGGGCGGGGTGATGGAAAGCGGGAGAATGGGGCGGGGTGATGGAAAGCAGGAGAATGGGGCGGGGTGATGGAAAGCAGGAGAATGGGGCGGGTGATGGAAAGGGGGAGAATGGGGCGGGGTGATGGAAAGCGGGAGAATGGGGCATTGTGATGGAAAGCGGGAGAATGGAGCGGGGTGATGGAAGGAGGGAGAAGGGGGCGGGGTGATGGAAGGAGGGAGAATGGGGCGAGGTGATGGAAAGCGGGAGCATGGGGCGGGGTGATGGAAAGTGGGAAAATGGGGCGGGGTGATGGAAAGTAGGAGAATGGGGCGGAGTGATGGAAAGGGGGAAAATGAGTCGGGGTGATGGAAAGCGGGAGAATGGGCCGGGATGATGGAAAGCGGAAGAATGAGGCGGGGTGATGGAAAGCGGGAGAATGGGGCGGGGTGATGGAAAGTGGGAGAATGGGGCGGGGTGATGGAAAGCAGGAGAATGGAGCGGGGTGATGGAAGGTGGGAGAATGGGGCGGGGTGATGGAAAGCGGGAGAATGGGGCGGGATGATGAAAAGCGGGAGAATTGCGCGGGGTGATGGAAAGCGGGAGAATGGGGTGGGGTGATGGAAAGCGGGGGAATGGGGCAGGGGTGATGGAAAGCAGGAGATTTCGGCGGGGTTATGGAAAGCCGGAGAATGGGGCGGGTGATGGAAAGCAGGAGAATGGGGCGGGTGATGGAAAGGAGGAGAATGGGGCGGGGTGATGGAAAGCGGGAAAATGGGGCGGTGTGATGGAAAGCGGGAGAATGGGGCGGGGTGATGGAAAGCAGGAGAATGGGGCGGGGTGATGGAAAGCAGGAGAATGGGGCATTGTGATGGAAAGCGGGAGAATGGAGCGTGGTGATGGAAGGAGGGAGAAGGGGGCGAGGTGATGGAAAGCGGGAGAATGGTGCGGGGTGATGGAAAGAGGGAGAATGGGGCGGGGTGATGGAAAGCGGGAGAATGGGGCGGGGTGATGGAAAGCGGGAGAATGGGGCGGGGTGATGGAAAGTGGGACAATGGGGCGGGGTGATGGAAAGCAGGAGAATGGGGCGGGGTGATGGAAGGAGGGAGAATGGGGAGGGGTGATGTAAAGAGGGAGAATGGGGCGGGGTGATGGAAAGCGGGAGTATGGAGCAAGGTGATGGAAAGCGGGAGAATGGGGTGGGGTGATGGAAAGCGGGAGAATGGGGCGGAGTAATGGAAAGCGGGAAAATGAGTGGGGGTGATGGAATGCGGGAGAATGGGGCAGGGTGATGGAAAGCGGGAGAATGGGGTGGGTGATGGAAAGCGGGAGAATGGGCCAGGGTGATGGAAAGCGGGAGATTTGGGCGGGGTAATGGAAAGCGGGAGAATGGGGCGGGGTGATGGAAAGCAGGAGAATGGGACGGGGTGATGGAAAGGGGGAAAATGGGGCGGGGTGATGGAAGGAGGGAGAATGGGGCGGGGTGATGGAAAGCGGGAGTATAGGGCGTTGTTATGGAAGGAGAGAGAATGGGGCGAGGTGATGGAAAGCGGGAGAATGGTGCGGGGTGATGGAAAGCGGGAGAATGAGGCGAGGTGATGGAAAGTGGGAGAATGGGGCCGGTGATGGAAAGCGGGAGAATGGGGCGGGGTGATGGAAAGCGGGAGAATGGGGCGGGGTGATGGAAAGCGGGAGAATGGGGTGGGGTGATGGAAGGTGGGAGAATGGGGCAGGGTGATGGAAGGACGGAGAATGGGGCGGGGTGATGGAAAGCGGGAGAATGGGGCGGGGTGATGGAAAGCGGGAGAATTGGGCGGGGTGATGGAAAGCGGGAGAATGGGGCGGGGTGATGGAAAGTGGGAGAATGGGGCGGGGTGATGGAAAGCGGGAGAATGGGGCGGGGTGATGGAAAGCGGAAGAATGAGGCGGGGTGATGGAAAGCGGGAGAATGGGGCAGGGTGATGGAAAGCGGCAGAACGGGGCGGGGTGATGGAAAGCGGGAGAATGGGGCGGGGTGATGGAAAATGGGAAAATGGGGCGTGGTGATGGAAAGCGGGAGAATGGGGCGGGATGATGGAAAGCGGGAGAATTGGGCAGGCTGATGGAAAGCGGGAGAATGGGGTGGGGTGATGGAAAGCGGAAAAAATGGGGAGGGGTGATGGAAGGAGGGAGAATGGGGCGGGGTGATGGAAAGCGGGAGAATGGGGCGGGGTGATGGAATGCGGGAGAATGGGGCAGGGTGATGGAAGGAGGGAGAATGGGGCGTGGTGATGGAAGGAGGGAGAATGGGGCTGGGTGATGGAAAGCGGGAGTATGGGGCGGGGTGATGGAAAGCGGGAGAATGGGGCGGGGTGATGGAAAGCGGGAGAATGGGGCGGGGTGATGGAAAGCGGGAGAATGGGGCGGGGTGACGGAAAGCGGGAGAATCGGACGGGGTGATTGAAAGCGGGAGAATGGGGCGGAGTGATGGAAAGCGGGAAAATGAGCCGGGGTGATGGAAAGGGGGAGAATGGGGCGGGGTGATGGAAAGCGGAAAAATGGGGCGGGGTGATGGAAAGCGGGAGAGTGGGGCGGGGTGATGGAAGGAGGGAGAATGGGGCGTGGTGATGGAAGGAGGGAGAATGGGGCTGGGTGATGGAAAGCGGGAGTATGGGGCGGAGTGATGGAAAGCGGGAGAATGGGCCGGGGTGATGGAAAGCGGGAGAATGGGGCGGGGTGATGGAAAGCGGGAGAATGGGGCGGGGTGATGGAAAGCGGGAGAATCGGGCGGGGTGATGGAAAGCGGGAGAATGGGGCGGAGTGATGAAAAGCGGGAAAATGAGTCGGGGTGATGGAAAGCGGGAGAATGGGGCGGGGTGATGGAAAGCGGTAGAATGGTACGGGGTGATGGAAAGCGGGAGAATGGGGCGGGGTAATGGAAGGAGGGAGAATGGGGTGGGGTGATGGAAAGTCGGAGAATGGGGCCGGGTGATGGAAAACGGGGGAATGGGGCAGGGTGACGGAAAGCGTGAGAATGGGGTGGGGTGATGGAAGGAGGGAGAATGGGGCGAGGTGATGGAAAGCGGTAGAATGGTACGGGGTGATGGATAGCAGGAGAATGGGTCGGGTTGATGGAAAGTGGAAGAATGGGGCGGGGTGATGGAAAGCGGGAGAATGGGGTGGGTGATGGAAAGCGGGAGAATGGGGCGGGGTGATGGAAAGCGGGAGAATGGGGCGGGGTGAGGCAAAGCGGGAGAATGGTGTGGGGTGATGGAAATGGGAGAATGGGGCGGGGTGATGGAAAGCGGGAGAATGGGGCAGGGTGAAGGAAAGCGGGAGAATGGGGCGGAGTGATGGAAAGTGGGAGAATGGGGCGGGGTGATGGAAAGGGGGAGAATGGTGCGGGGTGATGGAAAGCGGGAAAATGGGGCGGGTGATGGAAGGAGGGAGAATGGGGCGAGGTGATGGAAGGAGGGAGAATGGGGCGAGGTGATGGAAAGCGGGAGTATGGGGCGGGGTGATAGAAACCGGGAGAATGGGGCGGGGCGATGGAAGGCGGGAGAATGGGGCGGGGTTATGGAAAGCTGGAGAATGGGGCGGGGTGATGGAAAGCGGGAGAATGGGGCGGGGTGATGGAAAGCGGGAGAATGGGCCGGGGTGATGGAAAGGGGGAGAATGGGGCGGGGTGATGGAAGGAGGGAGAATGGGGCGGGGTGATGGAAAGCGGGAGTATGGGGCGTTGTTATGGAAAGCGGGAGAATGGGGCGGGGTGATGGAAGGAGAGAGAATGGGGCGAGGTGATGGAAAGCGGGAGAATGGTGCGGGGTGATGGAATGCGGGAGAATGAGGCGAGGTGATGGAAAGTGGGAGAATGGGGCCGGTGATGGAAAGCGGGAGAATGGGGCGGGGTGATGGAAAGCGGGAGAATGGGGCGGGGTGATGGAAAGCGGGAGAATGGGGTGGGGTGATGGAAGCGGGAGAATGGGGCGGGGTGATGGAAAGCGGGAGAATAGGGCGGGGTGATGGAAAGCGGAAGAATGGGGCGGGGTGATGGAAAGGGGGAGAATGGGGCGGGGTGATGGAAAGCGGGAAAATGGGGCGGGTGATGGAAGGAGGGAGAATGTGGCGAGGTGATGGAAGGAGGGAGAATGGGGCGAGGTGATGGAAAGCGGGAGTATGGGGCGGGGTGATGGAAACCGGGAGAATGGGGCGGGGTGATGGAAAGCGGGAGATTGGGGCAGAGTGATGGAAAGCGGGAAAATGAGTCGGGATGATGGAATGCGGGAGAATGGGGCGGGGTGATGGAAGGACGGAGAATGGGGCGGGGTGATGGAAAGCGGGAGAATGGGGCGGGGTGGTGGAAAGCGGGAGAATTGGGCGGGGTGATGGAAAGCGGGAGAATGGGGCGGGGTGATGGAAAGTGGGAGAATAGGGCGGGGTGATGGAAAGCGGGAGAATGGGCCGGGGTGATGGAAAGCGGAAGAATGAGGCGGGGTGATGGAAAGCGGGAGAATGGGGCGGGGTGATGGAAAGCGGCAGAATGGGGCGGGGCGATGGAAAGCGGGAGAATGGGGCGGGGTGATGGAACGTGGGAAAATGGGGCGTGGTGATGGAAAGCAGGAGAATGGAGCGGGGTGATGGAGGGTGGGAGAATGGGCCGGGGTGATGGAAAGCGGGAGAATGGGGCGGGATGATGGAAAGCGGGAGAATTGGGCAGGCTGATGGAAAGCGGGAGAATGGGGTGGGGTGATGGAAAGCGGAAAAATGGGGCGGGGTGATGGAAGGAGGGAGAATGGGGCGGGGTGATGGAAAGCGGGAGAATGGGGCAGGGTGATGGAAAGCGGGAGAATGGGGCGGGGTGATGGAAGGAGGGAGAATGGGGCGTGGTGATGGAAGGAGGGAGAATGGGGCTGGGTGATGGAAAGCGGGAGTATGGGGCGGGGTGATGGAAAGCGGGAGAATGGGCCGAAGTGATGGACAGCGGGAGAATGGGGCGGGGTGATGGAAAGCGGGAGAATGGGGCGGGGTGATGGAAAGCGGGAGAATCGGGCGGGGTGATGGAAAGCGGGAGAATGGGGCGGAGTGATGGAAAGCGGGAAAATCAGTCGGGGTGATGGAAAGGGGGAGAATGGGACGGGGTGATGGAAAGCGGAAAAATGGGGCGGGTGATGGAAGGAGGGAGAATGGGGCGAGGTGATGGAAGGAGGGAGAATGGGGCGAGGTGATGGAAAGCAGGAGTATGGGGCGGGGTGATGGAAACCGGGAGAATGGGGCGCGGTGATGGAAAGCGGGAGAATGGGGCGGAGTGATGGAAAGCGGGAAAATGAGTCAGGGTGATGGAATGCGGGAGAATGGGGTGGGGTGATGGAAAGCGGGAGAATCGGGCGGGGTGATGGAAAGCGGGAGAATGGGGCGGAGTGATGGAAAGCGGGAAAATCAGTCGGGGTGATGGAAAGGGGGAGAATGGGACGGGGTGATGGAAAGCGGAAAAATGGGGCGGGTGATGGAAGGAGGGAGAATGGGGCGAGGTGATGGAAGGAGGGAGAATGGGGCGAGGTGATGGAAAGCAGGAGTATGGGGCGGGGTGATGGAAACCGGGAGAATGGGGCGCGGTGATGGAAAGCGGGAGAATGGGGCGGAGTAATGGAAAGCGGGAAAATGAGTCGGGGTGATGGAATGTGGGAGAATGGGGTGGGGTGATGGAAAGCGGGAGAATGGGGTGGGTGATGGAAAGCGGGAGAATGGGACGGGGTGATGGAAAGCGGGAGAATGGGGCGGGGTGATGGAAAGCGGGAGAATGGGGTGGGGTGATGGAAAGCGGGAGAATTGGGCGGGGTGATGGAAAGCGGGAGAATGGGGCGGGGTGATGGAAAGCGGGAGAAAGGGGTGGGGTGATGGAAAGCGGGAGAATGGGGCGGGGTGATGGAAAGCGGGAGAATGGGGCGGGGTGATGGAAAGCGGAAGAATGGGGCGGGGTGATGGAAAGGGGGAGAATGGGGCGGGGTGATGGAAAGCGGGAAAATGGGGCGGGTGATGGAAGGAGGGAGAATGTGGCGAGGTGATGGAAGGAGGGAGAATGGGGCGAGGTGATGGAAAGCGGGAGTATGGGGCGGGGTGATGGAAACCGGGAGAATGGGGCGGGGTGATGGAAAGCGGGAGAATGGGGCAGAGTGATGGAAAGCGGGAAAATGAGTCGGGATGATGGAATGCGGGAGAATGGGGCGGGGTGATGGAAAGCGGGAGAATGGGGTGGGTGATGGAAAGCGGGAGAATGGGGCGGGGTGATGGAAAGCGGGAGAATGGGGCGGGGTGACGCAAAGCGGGAGAATGGTGTGGGGTGATGAAAAGTGGGAGAATGGGGAGGGGTGATGGAAAGCGGGAGAATGGGGCAGGGTAAAGGAAAGCGGGAGAATGGGGAGGAGTGATGGAAAGTGGGAGAACGGGGCGGGGTGATGGAAAGGGGGAGAATGGTGCGGGGTGATGGAAAGCGGGAAAATGGGGCGGGTGATGGAAGGAGGGAGAATGGGGCGAGGTGATGGAAGGAGGGAGAATGGGGCGAGGTGATGGAAAGCGGGAGTATGGGGCGGGTTGATAGAAACCGGGAGAATGGGGCGGGGCGATGGAAAACGGGAGAATGGGGCGGGGTTATGGAAAGCGGGAGAATGGGGCGGGGTGATGGAAAGCGGGAGAATGGGGCGGGGTGATGGAAAGCGGGAGAATGGGCCAGGGTGATGGAAAGCGGGAGATTTGGGTGGGGTAATGGAAAGCGGGAGAATGGGGCGGGGTGATGGAAAGCGGGAGAATGGGGCGGGGTGATGGAAAGCAGGAGAATGGGACGGGGTGATGGAAAGGGGGAGAATGGGGCGGAGTGATGGAAAGCGGCAAAATGGGGCGGGATGATGGAAAGCGGGAGAATAGGGCGGGGTGATGGAGAGCAGGAGAATGGGGCGGGGTGATGGAAAGGGGGAGAATGGGGCGGGGTGATGGAAAGCGGAGAAATGGGGCGGGTGATGGAAGGAGGGAGAATGGGGCGAGGTGATGGAAGGAGGGAGAATGGGGCGAGGTGATGGAAAGCGGGAGAATGGGGCGGGGTGATGGAAAGCGGCAGAATGGGGCGGGGTGATGGAAAGCGGGAGAATGGGGCGGGGTGATGGAACGTGGGAAAATGGGGCGTGGTGATGGAAAGCAGGAGAATGGAGCGGGGTGATGGAGGGTGGGAGAATGGGCCGGGGTGATGGAAAGCGGGAGAATGGGGCGGGATGATGGAAAGCGGGAGAATTGGGCAGGCTGATGGAAAGCGGGAGAATGGGGTGGGGTGATGGAAAGCGGAAAAATGGGGCGGGGTGATGGAAGGAGGGAGAATGGGGCGGGGTGATGGAAAGCGGGAGAATGGGGCAGGGTGATGGAAAGCGGGAGAATGGGGCGGGGTGATGGAAGGAGGGAGAATGGGGCGTGGTGATGGAAGGAGGGAGAATGGGGCTGGGTGATGGAAAGCGGGAGTATGGGGCAGGGTGATGGAAAGCGGGAGAATGGGCCGAAGTGATGGACAGCGGGAGAATGGGGCGGGGTGATGGAAAGCGGGAGAATGGGGCGGGGTGATGGAAAGCGGGAGAATCGGGCGGGGTGATGGAAAGCGGGAGAATGGGGCGAAGTGATGGAAAGCGGGAAAATCAGTCGGGGTGATGGAAAGGGGGAGAATGGGACGGGGTGATGGAAAGCGGAAAAATGGGGCGGGTGATGGAAGGAGGGAGAATGGGGCGAGGTGATGGAAGGAGGGAGAATGGGGCGAGGTGATGGAAAGCAGGAGTATGGGGCGGGGTGATGGAAACCGGGAGAATGGGGCGCGGTGATGGAAAGCGGGAGAATGGGGCGGAGTGATGGAAAGCGGGAAAATGAGTCAGGGTGATGGAATGCGGGAGAATGGGGTGGGGTGATGGAAAGCGGGAGAATCGGGCGGGGTGATGGAAAGCGGGAGAATGGGGCGGAGTGATGGAAAGCGGGAAAATCAGTCGGGGTGATGGAAAGGGGGAGAATGGGACGGGGTGATGGAAAGCGGAAAAATGGGGCGGGTGATGGAAGGAGGGAGAATGGGGCGAGGTGATGGAAGGAGGGAGAATGGGGCGAGGTGATGGAAAGCAGGAGTATGGGGCGGGGTGATGGAAACCGGGAGAATGGGGCGCGGTGATGGAAAGCGGGAGAATGGGGCGGAGTAATGGAAAGCGGGAAAATGAGTCGGGGTGATGGAATGTGGGAGAATGGGGTGGGGTGATGGAAAGCGGGAGAATGGGGTGGGTGATGGAAAGCGGGAGAATGGGACGGGGTGATGGAAAGCGGGAGAATGGGGCGGGGTGATGGAAAGCGGGAGAATGGGGTGGGGTGATGGAAAGCGGGAGAATGGGGCGGGGTGATGGAAAGCGGGAGAATGGGGCGGGGTGATGGAAAGCGGGAGAAAGGGGTGGGGTGATGGAAAGCGGGAGAATGGGGCGGGGTGATGGAAAGCGGGAGAATGGGGCGGGGTGATGGAAAGCGGAAGAATGGGGCGGGGTGATGGAAAGGGGGAGAATGGGGCGGGGTGATGGAAAGCGGGAAAATGGGGCGGGTGATGGAAGGAGGGAGAATGTGGCGAGGTGATGGAAGGAGGGAGAATGGGGCGAGGTGATGGAAAGCGGGAGTATGGGGCGGGGTGATGGAAACCGGGAGAATGGGGCGGGGTGATGGAAAGCGGGAGAATGGGGCAGAGTGATGGAAAGCGGGAAAATGAGTCGGGATGATGGAATGCGGGAGAATGGGGCGGGGTGATGGAAAGCGGGAGAATGGGGTGGGTGATGGAAAGCGGGAGAATGGGGCGGGGTGATGGAAAGCGGGAGAATGGGGCGGGGTGACGCAAAGCGGGAGAATGGTGTGGGGTGATGAAAAGTGGGAGAATGGGGCGGGGTGATGGAAAGCGGGAGAATGGGGCAGGGTAAAGGAAAGCGGGAGAATGGGGAGGAGTGATGGAAAGTGGGAGAACGGGGCGGGGTGATGGAAAGGGGGAGAATGGTGCGGGGTGATGGAAAGCGGGAAAATGGGGCGGGTGATGGAAGGAGGGAGAATGGGGCGAGGTGATGGAAGGAGGGAGAATGGGGCGAGGTGATGGAAAGCGGGAGTATGGGGCGGGTTGATAGAAACCGGGAGAATGGGGCGGGGCGATGGAAAACGGGAGAATGGGGCGGGGTTATGGAAAGCGGGAGAATGGGGCGGGGTGATGGAAAGCGGGAGAATGGGGCGGGGTGATGGAAAGCGGGAGAATGGGCCAGGGTGATGGAAAGCGGGAGATTTGGGTGGGGTAATGGAAAGCGGGAGAATGGGGCGGGGTGATGGAAAGCGGGAGAATGGGGCGGGGTGATGGAAAGCAGGAGAATGGGACGGGGTGATGGAAAGGGGGAGAATGGGGCGGAGTGATGGAAAGCGGCAAAATGGGGCGGGATGATGGAAAGCGGGAGAATAGGGCGGGGTGATGGAGAGCAGGAGAATGGGGCGGGGTGATGGAAAGGGGGAGAATGGGGCGGGGTGATGGAAAGCGGAGAAATGGGGCGGGTGATGGAAGGAGGGAGAATGGGGCGAGGTGATGGAAGGAGGGAGAATGGGGCGAGGTGATGGAAAGCGGGAGAATGGGGCGGGGTGATGGAAAGCGGGAGAATGGGGCAGGGTGATGGAGAGTGGGAGAATGGGGCGAGGTGATGGAAAGCGGGAGAATGGGCCGGGGTGATGGAAAGCGGGAGAATGGGGCGGGGTGATGGAAAGCGGGAGAATGGGGCGGGGTGATGGAAAGCGGGAGAATGGGGTGGGGTGATGGAAAGGGGGAGAATGTGGCGTTGTGATGGAAAGCGGGAGAATGTGGAGGGGTGATGGAAGGAGGGAGAATGGGGCGGGGTGATGGAAGGAGGGAGAATGGGGCGAGGTGATGGAAACCGGGAGTATGGGGCGGGGTGATGGAAAGCGGAAGAATGGGGCGGGGTGATGGAAAGCGGGAGAATGGGGCGGAGTGATGGAAAGTGGGAAAATGAGTCAGGGTAATGGAATGCGGGAGAATGGGGCGGGGTGATGGAAAGCGGGAGAATGGGGTGGGTGATGGAAAGCGGGAGAATGGGGCGGGGTGATGGAAAGCGGGAGAATGGGGCGGGGTGATGGAAAGCGGGAGAATGGGGCGTGGTGATGGAAAGCGGGAGAGTGGGGCGGGGTGACGGAAAGCGGGAGAATGGGGCAGGGTGACGGAAAGCGGGAGAATGCTGCGGGGTGATGGAAAGCGGGAGAATGGGGCGGGGTGATGGAAAGCGGGAGAATGGGGCGGGGTGATGGAAGGAGGGAGAATGGGGCGGGGTGATGGAAAGCGGGAGTATGGGGCGTTGTGATGGAAAGCGGGAGAATGGGGCGGGGTGATGGAAAGCGGGAGAATGGGGCGGGGTGATGGAAAGCGGGAGAATGGGGCGGGGTGATGGAAAGCGGGAGAATGGGGCGGGGTGATGGAAAGGGGGAGAATTTGGCGTTGTGATGGAAAGCGGGAGAATGGGGAGGGGTGATGGAAGGAGGGAGAATGGGGCGGGGTGATGGAAGGAGGGAGAATGGGGCAAGGTGATGGAAGGAGGGAGAATGGGGCGAGGTGATAGAAAGCGGGAGTATGAGGCGGGGTGATGGAAAGCGAGAGAATGGGGCGAGGTGATGGAGAGTGGGAGAATGGGGCAGGGTGATGGAAAGCGGGAGAATGGGCCGGGGTGATGGAAAGCGGGAGAATGGGGCGGGGTGATGGAAAGCGGGAGAATGGGGCGGGGTGATGGAAAGCGGGAGAATGGGGCGGGGTGATGGAAAGCGGGAGAATGGGGCGGGGTGATGGAAAGCGGGAGAATGTGGCGTTGTGATGGAAAGCGGGAGAATGGGGAGGGGTGATGGAAGGAGGGAGAATGGGGCGGGGTGATGGAAGGAGGGAGAATGGGGCGAGGTGATGGAAAGCCGGAGTATGGGGCGGGGTGATGGAAAGCGGAAGAATGGGGCGGGGTGATGGAAAGCGGGAGAATGGGGCGGAGTGATGGAAAGCGGGAAAATGAGTCGGGGTGATGGAATGCGGGAGAATGGGGCGGGGTGATGGAAAGCGGGAGAATGGGGTGGGTGATGGAAAGCGGGAGAATGGGGCGGGGTGATGGAAAGCAGGAGAATGGGGCGGGGTGATGGAAAGCGGGAGAATGAGGCGGGGTGACGGAAAGCGGGAGAATGCTGCGGGGTGATGGAAAGCGGGAGAATGGGGCGGGGTGATGGAAAGCGGGAGAATGGGGCGGGGTGATGGAAGGAGGGAGAATGGGGGGGGTGATGGAAAGTGGGAGTATGGGGCGTTGTGATGGAAAGCGGGAGAATGGGCCGGGGTGATGGAAAGCGGGAGAATGGGGCGGGGTGATGGAAAGCGGGAGAATGGGGCGGGGTGATGGAAAGCGGGAGAATGGGGCGGGGTGATGGAAAGCGGGAGAATGGGGCGGGGTGATGGAAAGGGGGAGAATGTTGCGTTGTGATGGAAAGCGGGAGAATGGGGAGGGGTGATGGAAGGAGGGAGAATGGGGCGGGGTGATGGAAGGAGGGAGAATGGGGCGAGGTGATGGAAAGCGGGAGTATGGTGCGGGGTGATGGAAAGCGGAAGAATGGGGCAGGGTGATGGAAAGCGGGAAAATGGGTCGGGGTGATGGAATGCGGGAGAATGGGGCGGGGTGATGAAAAGCGGGAGAATGGGGTGGGTGATGGAAAGCGGGAGAATGGGGCGGGGTGACGGAAAGCGGGAGAATGCTGCGGGGTGATGCAAAGCGGGAGAATGGGGCGGGGTGATGGAAAGCGGGAGAATGGGGCGGGGTGATGGAAGGAGGGAGAATGGGGCGGGGTGATGGAAAGCGGGAGAATGGGGCGGAGTGATGGAAAGCGGGAAAATGAGTCGGGGTGATGGAATGCGGGAGAATGGGGCGGGGTGATGGAAGGAGGGAGAATGGGGTGGGGTGATGGAAAGTGGGAGTATGGGGCGTTGTGATGGAAAGCGGGAGAATGGGGCGGGGTGATGGAAAGCGGGAGAATGGGGCGGGGTGATGGAAAGCGGGAGAATGGGGCGGGGTGATGGAAAGCGGGAGAATGGGGCGGGGTGATGGAAAGCGGGAGAATGGGGCGGGGTGATGGAAAGGGGGAGAGTGGGGCGGGGTGACGGAAAGCGGGTTGAACACACGGTGGGTTGAACACACGGTGGGTTGAACACACGGTAGGTTTAACACACGGTGGGTTGAACCATTGTGGGTTGAACACACGGTGGGTTTAATACACAGTGGGTTGAACACACGGTGGGTTGAACACACGGTGGGTTGAACACACGGTAGGTTTAACACACGGTGGGTTGAACACACTGTGGGTTGAACACACGGTAGGTTTAACATACGGTGGGTTGAACACACAGTGGGTTTAACACACGGTAAGTTTAACACACGGTGGGTTTAACACACAGTGGGTTTAACACACGGTGGGTTGAACACACGGTGGGTTGAACACACGGTGGGTTGAACACACGGTAGGTTTAACCCACAGTGGGTTGAACACACGGTAGGTTGAACACACGGTGGGTTGAACACACGGTAGGTTTAACACACGGTGGGTCACACGGTAGGTTGAACACACGGTAGGTTTAACATACGGTGGGTTGAACACACGGTGGGTTGAACACACGGTGGGTTGAACACACGGTAGGTTTAACACACAGTGGGTTGAACCATTATGGGTTGAACACACGGTGGGTTTAATACACAGTGGGTTGAACACACGGTGGGTTGAACACACGGTGGGTTGAACACACGGTAGGTTTAACACACGGTGGGTTGAACACACGGTGGGTTGAACACACGGTAGGTTTAACACACGGTGGGTTGAACACACAGTGGGTTTAACACACGGTAGGTTTAACACACGGTGGGTTTAACACACAGTGGGTTTAACACACGGTGGGTTGAACACACGGTGGGTTGAACACACGGTGGGTTGAACACACGGTAGGTTGAACACACGGTGGGTTGAACGCACGGTGGGTTGAACACACGGTATGTTTAACACACGGTGGGTTGAACACACGGTGGGTTGAACACACGGTGGGTTGAACACACGGTGGGTTGAACACACGGTATGTTGAACACACGGTAGGTTTTACACATGGTGGGTTGAACACACGGTGGGTTGAACACACGGTGGGTTGAACACACGGTAGGTTCAACACACGGTGGGTTGAACACACGGTGGGTTGAACACACAGTCGGTTTAACATACGGTGGGTTGAACACACGGTGGGTTCAACACACGGTGGGCTGAACACACGGTTGGTTTAACACACGATGGGTTGAACACATGGTGGGTTGAACACACGGTGGGTTGAACACACGGTGGGTTGAACACACGGTAGGTTTAACACACGGTGGGTTGAACACACGGTAGGTTGAACACACGGTAGGATTAACACACCGTGGGTTGAACACACGGTGGGATGAACACACGGTGGGTTGAACACACCGTGGGTTGAACACACGGTAGGTTTAACACACGGTGGGTTGAACACACGGTGGGTTGAACACACGGTGGGTTGAACACACGGTGGGTTGAACACACGGTGGGTTGAACACCCGGTGGGTTTAACACACGGTAGGTTTAACACACAGTGGGTTGAACACACGGTGGGTTGAACACACGGTGGGTTTAACACACGGTAGGTTTAACACACGGTGGGTTGAACACACGGTGGGTTGAACACACGGTGGGTTGAATACACGGTGGGTTGAACACACTGTGGGTTTAACACACGGTGGGTTAAACACACGGTGGGTTGAACACACGGTGGGTTGAACACACGGTAGGTTTAACACACGGTGGGTTGAACACACGGTGGGTTGAACACACGGTAGGTTGAACACACGGTGGGTTGAACACATGGTGGGTTGAACACACGGTGGGTTTAACACACGGTGGGTTGAACACACGATGGGTTGAACATACGGTTGGTTGAACACACGGTAGGTTTAACACACGGTGGGTTGAACACACGGTGGGTTGAACACACGGTGGGTTGAACACACGGTAGGTTTAACACACGGTGGGTTGAACCATTGTGGGTTGAACACACGGTGGGTTTAATACACAGTGGGTTGAACACACGGTGGGTTGAACACACGGTGGGTTGAACACACGGTAGGTTTAACACACGGTGGGTTGAACACACCGTGGGTTGAACACACGGTAGGTTTAACACACAGTGGGTTGAACACACAGTGGGTTTAACACACGGTAGGTTTAACACACGGTGGGTTTAACACACAGTGGGTTTAACACACGGTGGGTTGAACACACGGTGGGTTGAACACACGGTGGGTTGGACACACGGTAGGTTCAACCCACGGTGGGTTGAACACACGGTAGGTTGAACACACGGTGGGTTGAACACACGGTAGGTTTAACACACGGTGGGTCACACGGTAGGTTGAACACACGGTAGGTTTAACACACGGTGGGTTGAACACACGGTGGGTTGAACACATGGTGGGTTGAACACACGGTAGGTATAACACACAGTGGGTTGAACCATTATGGGTTGAACACACGGTGGGTTTAATACACAGTGGGTTGAACACACGGTGGGTTGAACACACGGTGGGTTGAACACACGGTAGGTTTAACACACGGTGGGTTGAACACACGGTGGGTTGAACACACGGTAGGTTTAACACACGGTGGGTTGAACACACAGTGGGTTTAACACACGGTAGGTTTAACACACGGTGGGTTTAACACACAGTGGGTTTAACACACGGTGGGTTGAACACACGGTGGGTTGAACACACGGTGGGTTGAACACACGGTAGGTTTAACCCACGGTGGGTTGAACACACGGTGGGTTGAACACACGGTGGGTTGAACGCACGGTGGGTTGAACACACGGTATGTTTAACACACGGTGGGTTGAACACACGGTGGGTTGAACACACGGTGGGTTGAACACACGGTGGGTTGAACACACGGTATGTTGAACACATGGTGGGTTGAACACACGGTGGGTTGAACACACGGTAGGTTTTACACATGGTGGGTTGAACACACGGTGGGTTGAACACACGGTGGGTTGAACACACGGTAGGTTTAACACACGGTGGGTTGAACACACGGTGGGTTGAACACACGGTCGGTTTAACATACGGTGGGTTGAACACACGGTGGGTTGAACACACGGTGGGCTGAACACACGGTTGGTTTAACACACGATGGGTTGAACACATGGTGGGTTGAACACACGGTGGGTTGAACACACGGTGGGTTGAACACACGGTAGGTTTAACACACGGTGGGTTGAACACACGGTAGGTTGAACACACGGTAGGTTTAACACACGGTGGGTTGAACACACGGTGGGATGAACACACGGTGGGTTGAACACACGGTGGGTTGAACACACGGTAGGTTTAACACACGGTGGGTTGAACACACGGTGGGTTGAACACACGGTGGGTAGAACACACGGTGGGTTGAACACCCGGTGGGTTTAACACACGGTAGGTTTAACACACAGTGGGTTGAACACACGATGGGTTGAACACACGGTGGGTTTAACACACGGTAGGTGTAACACACGGTGGGTTGAACACACGGTGGGTTGAACACACGGTGGGTTGAATACACGGTGGGTTGAACACACGGTGGGTTTAACACACGGTGGGTTAAACATACGGTGGGTTGAACACACGGTGGGTTGAACACACGGTAGGTTTAACACACGGTGGGTTGAACACACGGTGGGTTGAACACACGGTGGGTTGAACACACGGTAGGTTTAACACACGGTGGGTTGAACACATGGTGGGTTGAACACATGCTGGGTTTAACACAGAGTGGGTTGAACACACGGTGGGTTGAACACACGGTGGGTTGAACACACGGTAGGCTTAACACACGGTGGGTTGAACACACGGTGGGTTGAACACACGGTAGGTTTAACACACGGTGGGTTGAACATATGGCCGGTTGAACACACGGTGGGTTTAACACACGGTGGGTTGAACACACGATGGGTTGAACACACGGTAGGTTTAACACACGGTGGGTTTAACCCACGGTGGGTTGAACACACGGTGGGTTGAACACACGGTGGGTTGAACACACGGTGTGTTGAACACACGGTAGGTTTAACACACGGTGGGTTTAACACACTGTCGGTTGAACACACGGTGGGTTTAACACACGGTGGGTTGAACACACGGTGGGTTGAACACACGGTAGGTTTAACACATGGTGGGTTGAACACACGGTGGGTTGAACACACGGTGGGTTGAACACACGGTAGGTTTAACACACGGTGGGTTGAACACACGGTGACTTGAACACACGGTAGGTTTAACACACGGTGGGTTGAACACACGGTGGGCTGAACACACGGTAGGTTTAACACACGGTGGGTTGAACACACGGTGGGTTGAACACACGGTGGGTTGAACACACGGTGGGTTGAACACACGGTATGTTGAACACATGGTGGGTTGAACACACGGTGGGTTGAACACACGGTAGGTTGAACACATGGTGTGTTGAACACACGGTGGGTTGAACACACGGTAGGTTGAACACACGGTGGGTTGAACACACAGTAGGTTTAACACACGGTGGGTTGAACACACGGTGGGTTGAACACACGGTGGGTTGAACACACGGTGGGTTGAACACACGGTGGGTTGAACACACGGTGGGTTGAACACCTGGTGGGTTTAACACACGGTAGGTTTAACACACAGTGGGTTGAACACATGGTGGGTTGAACACACGGTGGGTTGAACACACGGTGGGTTGAACACACGGTAGGTTTAACACACGGTGGGTTGAACACACGGTAGGTTGAACACACGGTGGGTTGAACACACGGTGGGTTGAACACACGGTGGGTTGAACACACGGTGGGTTGAACACACGGTAGGTTTAACACACGGTGGGTTGAACACACGGTGGGTTGAACACACGGTGGGTTGAACACACGGTGGGTTGAACACACGGTGGGTTGAACACACGGTGGGTTGAACACCCGGTGGGTTTAACACACGGTAGGTTTAACACACGGTGGGTTGAACACACGGTAGGTTTAACACACGGTGGGTTGAACACACACGGTGGGTTGAACACACGGTGGGTTGAACACACGGTGGGTTGAACACACGGTGGGTTGAACACCCGGTGGGTTTAACACATGGTAGGTTTAACTCACAGTGAGTTGAACACACGGTGGGTTGAACACACGGTGGGTTTGACACACGGTAGGTTTAACACACGGTGGGTTGAACACACGGTGGGTTGAACACACGGTGGGTTGAACACACGGTGGGTTGAACAAACGGTAGGTTTAACACACGGTGGGTTTAACACA